GCAGCTGCAACTCCATATTTCCTTCCATGCTTTGTCCTTCTTTACCCGACCATGGTAAGAGCTGGAGGACACATCATACAGGCAAGGCTTCTGCTGCCACAACTCCACAAGGTTTTCCTCTTTACTGGAATCCCATGCATTTCTTTTAGCATGTTTTGCCTCCATGCCAAGCTGCTATTCATCTGTTTCTTTGGGTTTAGGGTCAGTGCGTCATTTTATTATGCATTTCTATAGATTGGTTAGTAGACATAGGCCATAAATTCCTGGCACAGTCAGAATTTTATCCCAGGCTGTCTTTGATCGCAATAATGTGACAACGGCCATCCTTGAAGCTCTGTAACTGTGTGACACAGGATCATCGTTTTAGAGCCACAACCAAAGATATCACCACGTTTCTTTGACGTTGGTCATCTTTCATGTGGGACAGCCCAAAATAGCACAGGTTATACTGAGCTTTAGGCTGTAGGAACCTTGGATGAAAGATTTGTCAAAGGATATGTGGAAATATTGACCTTCTGGTCGCGCCACAGTAAAAATCAAAGGATCACTTCAGTCACTGGGACCCAGTGTCTGGGGACGACGAATGTCTCTAACTTTTATGACAATCCATCCTATTGTTGTTGAGATATTTATATCTGGAACAAAGTGGTGGACTGACTGAAAGACAGACAGACAATGCCGTCCCTAGAGACAATTAATGAGTTTCGAAAATTGATCAGTGCTGCCTAAAATCATAATAATAAACCTGAATGTACTGAATACATTCTAATGGACTTCCAATTTCATTCCATGTTTGAATACCAGGTGAGGACCTGTTCCAGATTAGGGGTCAGAACGGTTTACTGCATAACTGCATGGATCCTCTCCCAGAGGTTTCTGGGAAACAGGAAGTGGCTGACACGGCAGATCACGTCCTGAAAACCTTCTATCCTGTCTCCCCCACCATCGACCTGCAGAAGGTTCACGTGTACAAAGAGGACGTGAACTGCACAGGTGAGAAGACATCATGTCACATTAATCATGGTCTTGCAGTAGTTTGCTGTGTCTGGGAGTATAGTACTGCGGGTCTCCGTTTGTCCAGTGCTCAGGCCTAATTAAATGACTTCTCTTATATCCAATCAGGTTTCAGGGATGACTACCCTTATCCTCATGCCCACACCATTTACTTTACGGAGGGAGGTGATGCTAACTTTAAGCTCCTGCCAGAACAGTTCAGAGCCAAGATGCTCATGTTTACCTTTGGAAATGCTTTGGTCCGTGCACACAAACTGTATGGGGTAAGGATGTACACATCACTGTGTCATTAAACTCAGTGGATCTGTGAACAACATACTGTATTACCAGTAAGTGATCTACATTCTCGAAATTCATAATCATCCTTCTCTCCCTTTCTACTTTTTACCCTGTGTGTGTGTGTGTGTGTGTGTGTGTGTGTGTGTGTGTCAGCCCCAGCCCCAGCGTGTATTAGATCGACCTATAACAGTACAGGCAGTGGGGACCAACGGTAGAATTTTCCATTTTATGGTTTTCCAGCTCAACACCACAGATCTCTCAGGAGACGACGGCATCAAGAACCAGGTGCCTCATTTTTTTTATTCAATATCTGTGTGTGGTGCTTTGTGAGAAAACCCAAATTGACACGTTATTGGCTTTGAAGAGACATTTGCTGCTGTACTGCAAAAAACGCATCAATACGAGGACCTTTGCTTCTGCATGGGTAGACCAAGTGAACACTACAATACAAAACAGTACACCCAGCAGTAAATACCATTAAACTCATGCTGTGGTTTAAAAGGTAAGTTTGGTATATTCTAACTTGGTCCCTATTTCCCATGTGTCTTCCATGTTTCTGTGTCTAAGTGACTAATGCAACAGTAATAATGCAATAAAGTATTATTCTATTTTATAATTTCTGAAATTGGTCCAGTATTAAGCGAGAGGGCTGCAGCTGGCAGTGGCTGCAGTGTAATCACTCAGGGCATGTATGCAGCGTCAGTGTACGTCCACTTAAAGTTCTTGTTTTGACAGCCGCAGATTACCATTCTAAATGTCTGACAACTTATAGGATCAATCCTTACCTTTTAAAGGTGCAAATCCTTTTTGTTTAATCAGATACCGCCTCAAAAATCACTGTCGTCAAACACACCAGACTCTATTTAAATATACAGTAATTGTATTTTGGCGTGTATAAAAGCAACATATTTGCACATCTAACTGGGTGAATAAAGGGTTTATTTCAACCAAACCAGAGTTAGGGATTGTTGGAATAGCGGAAAGACGAACCAAATGGCTTTTGTGAGTTTTATTTTGCTTCCATCAACTTTGAATTAAGTGTGTTTGTGACCAAAAAAAAACCTGATTATTTAAATGGAGTCTGTGAGTTTGGCTATCGCATATCTGGACCAATTTCCAAAATTGTTGTTCCATTAGTTACTTAGACACAAAAACATGGGAAAATGGGGTCCTGGTTGAATATTGCCCATTGCCTTTACAGGCTAAATTGTCGTCAGACCAATAGCTCCGAGATTGCTTTTTGTTCAGGGCTGAATAATATGTTGTAAATCCATATGCAAAGAAACTAATCCTCAGAGTGAATTCTTATCAGTATTTTTGATCAAGTGATGCTGCAAAAATCTGTGTCCGTGCAAAAACAACAATTTTTCATAATAATCATAATTGACTATCAGAGTAAAAATCAGACCTGATGTGAGAATGAGTTTGCTGTTGTCTGCTGGCTTTTTGAAACGCTTTCTGCTCCATGCAGGTGTGGCTGGATAAAGATGTCGAGCTCTATGATTTTGCAAAACTCCGACCGCTCATCAAGAAAAAGCAAGTGAAGGTATGAACATATCATACATCTGAGCCCTGGCACCTTTTTCTCTTAATTTTGTTAGATCTCAATAGCAGTGGCTGGTCTTGAGTTTCCTAGTTAGGCTAGCTATAGATTTCAAATCCAAAAAAGGAAGTCTTGGAGGAAAATAGAGACTTTAATATTGCATATACAGATTTGTTTGCTTTCACCACCAACACTACAACACTGCCACACCAAATAATCCTAAATAGCACATGGCAGAGTCGTAATCTTGTGGTAAAACATATTAATGAATGCTTATTTCGACCTATTAGTATGTTGATAGGCTAATGTAGACTTAATAGGCCATGTTACCTTCATATCCAGGCTCAAATATGTTTTGCGGCTCCAGACAGACTTTTAAAACTTTTTATTTTGGCCAAAAATAGCTCTTTCTATAGAAAGGTTGCCGACCCCTGCCATAAATACACTGAATGCGTATTTATTGATAAGTGTGATGGGACGACAGAGAAACTGAAAGGGCAGCAAAGTAAACTTGAGTGGTTGTTTGTTGTGTGTCTCCCTGCAGGTACCAGCTGGTCTGGCAGGATACAAGCCTGAAACATTCAACAAGTTCTTGGCCCTGTACCTGCACGGGGCTGTGTAGGACAACAAACAGTACCTTGTCTGTATTTATGTTTTTTTGTTGTTGTTTGTTTTTACGTATGTCCCTTCAGTCGGTGACCTGGTTTACAACATGTTATGTTGTCTGGATAATTTAACACCTTGACCCCATCCAACTGTGACTTACTCAATAAAAAAAAACTCATTCTGAATAGATACTTAAGTGTGTTTTTATGCTTTACTGGTGTACATTGAAAATGAATACAGGCTTATATCCCAACAATTTTTCATCCTAAAACCTATTATAACACTAGTACTCTGCTGTAAAGAGACAACAGTAATGGGCTCTATTTGGGGTGTTGCAGGTATGAGCAACTTTAACAGGGCAGCAGACCTAGAATTGATATGAATATCAGCATGTCTTAATATCACACTACAAAGAAAACATAAACTTCAAACCTCTACAGCGCACACATAACATTATAGGGCTAATCTCACACCCATTTGGACTTGTTGTAACCGGTGCACTGGTGAAACTAATTTTATTAACAATAGCTCTGATCCATGTGAGTAATGAGAGTGAGTCAGTGTGCACGACACCAGAGTCCTCACCCACAATGGACTGTCTTTTTTATGTAATTATATTTGATGTCAAAAATATTCTGATTGCATATTTTTTCATTTTTAGGAAAAGGAAAGTGATGCTTACAACAGCACACTTTTAGAAGAATTACTAATAAAGTTTAAATGCCTTTTCTTTATCAAGTCCAAATATTGGATAATAACAGTTCTATGATCAAGCACATGAATTAACTTGTATATTGATATTAAAGTGTAAAAATTATTAATCAAGATGCAAGAAATCAAACTGATCACTTCATAAGATATCAGGTAATGGAGTGCAACTTAGCTAAGGTCTGTGTATATGTATGATGGGCCTAAAAATAACCTTTTCAGTCATTTTTGCACTCAGGCTACAGTAATAACTATCCCTCTAGACCAGTAGTTACCAAAGCTGCAGGGTCTTTTCATGGACAGATAAAATTAGGGTGCCTCTGAGCAACGATTACTATTGGGTCCTCGTTAAGCCCCATCTACCACCTCTGTGCATTTTGATACAGAGTCACAATGTTGTGCGTTAGGAATTGTACTTGAGTGGTACAAACCAACCAAATAACAAAAATCCACTGACATACAGTGAATCTTTGGGGCCCCTGGGGGTCTGGGGCTCAGGGGCAGCTGCCTGCAGTGGATAAAACAGCCTTGGACCCACTGAATGGGTGTCAGCAAAAACTGTCAGTGTTTCCACTGAGTCACATTTAATACATCACATACTATCATGATTTTAACTGATTTCCACGGGACTGCATGTCACATGACAACACTTTAAAAAACAAAACAAAACAAATAAACAAACGAAACCAAATGGGAAGCCGTGCTGTGCGAGCTGGTAAATTAAACAGTTTATGTAAGCACATTTTTTCCGTCGACGCACCACAGCAGGCACAAACAAACCGACTGTATCAATGTGGCAATGAGAGCAAGTCTACACCCGCAGCTGCACTCTGACAGGAAGGACCAGCAGACTACAAACACACTGAACCGACCTCAGGGACACAGACAGAGACGGAGAGACACAAGCCTGACACAAGCCCAAACCTACAGGACACAAAAGAAGCTGCAAAAAGGTACATCGAAACATCGTCTGACATGTCACTTATAATGCTTTAAAGTTTTCTGGTCCAAACTATAGTTGTGTCAAGCTACCCAGAGATGCACACAAAAACACCGGAAGTCAGTCGCTTTGCTAATTAGTTTCACATAAAAAGTAGCCTCTGGTATAAATTCCGTTTGAGTCTTGTGTGTTGTTTGCTAATATTGCTGTCCATGTTAGTATTTGTGTATTTGTTAGTAGTGTATTCTAATATGGAACAATGCAACGGACGTCACTTAAATGTCAGGGACTGTTCTTCACTTATCAGAGGGAGAGTCGGGGATGAATGGAGGCAAGGGTCTGACCTCATTTTATTTAGTCATTTATTTATTTATCTTATTTTGACTGTCCCCAAACCTTCAGGTATTTATCCTTGAGCCTTCCTGAGTGACTGGCGGAAAAAGCATGACCCTCCCTTCACCATAAATTAGTTGTCAGATGTAAAAACTTACCCTTTAAAAAAGTTAAAAGTTCAAAACCAAATCCTGGAGTTGAAAAAAAGCTATGGGTTTTTCATTCATGTTGTGCTTGCCGGTTAGTTGTGAGTGATTTTGATGAAATATTAGTATTCTAAGCTTAAAATATGATTATGTTTTTTTTTTTCTGATGAAAGCATTTGTCCCACACAATGGGTATGATTTATGACATATTAGTAAATCTCATATATGAAATGTTAGTAAATCTGTGAGTAGATTTGCACATAAAAAACCTTGATACTAAAAACCCACACCGTATTCATGAACCCCACGGGAAACTAGGATTTGATTGTGGGCAAGTGTGTAAATTCATGAATGCCAGCCGTAAATTGACAGCATGCTCCCACTTGTCGGCAATTAGCATACAACCCCATATATGGGGACCACCATATATGGAGATGATAATTACTATGGATAGATATTTTGTTAGTAACAATTAAACGATTGGAGCTACTAACATATTGATGAATGCTGAATTACACGTAAATTTCCCTCAGCTGACAGTTTACACACAAATTTGTTCTGCTCATGTTTAGTGAATGAGACCCAGTGTGTTTAAATACCATTGTAAATTTTAAAACCCAACAATAATTTGTGTTTTAACAGTTTCCGGCTGCAATAAATGGTGTAATTAATCAATTTTAAAAGAAAATATGCTTTCCCAACAACTGGTGGTAAAATAAATAGCCTACAAAACACAGCCATTTAAAGTTGTATGCCCTTTCCCTAAGCCAAAACAAAAGTCCCTTTACAGTACTTACACAAGAAAATAACCAACAGCTCCATATCAAATTACAGCTTTGATAACCCCAAAATATATCTAATCTGCATCATACTGATTTCACTTTGGTATGCTTCCTATGAGAAATATAAGGGAAGTTGCTACTTTCTCAGGGCAGATTAATTAGTACATAAATAAGTAGCATGTCAGTCTTGTCATAGCAAAACAAAGCATTTGAAAATGTGTCATCTTTAGGTTTTTATTTTGAAAGGTATCACCGGAACTCCCTTAAAGTAACATGGTATCAACGTTTAACTTTACACGTCCACAAGTCGCTGTCCCGTCAGGTCAGTGAGTACATTACATTGTAAAGTAAGCTAACAAAGTATAACTCCTTAACTTTCATTTTATTCCGTGTTTACTGAAGCAGATTGTAGCAGCTTTAGCTTATAGTAACGTTACTGAAGCTCAGCTGTGGAAGGTTTTTGAAGTTCGCTGTTCCAGCTGAAGACTAGCTAAGTGGTCTGGTGCGCAGCAATTTAACGTTATGTGACTAGAAGCTCTCTTCATGTCGCTGTTTCATGTGCAAATGTTTCTGTTTGAAGGAATAAAAGTTGTCGAAGGTAACTCGTTCTTCCATAGCCTGTAAATGTGTCGAGTGTGTGCACAGTGCGTGCACCCTCCTTGTAGCTTTGTGTTTTCTTGGCGGCTCAGAGCGGACAGACCTGTCAGACCTATGTTGTGCCTGTCAGGTCATGTCATCAGCGTTATCAGCTGGAGACAAAGGAAGTGAGTAGAGATCTCTGAAGTCCTCAGGCTACAGGTATTTAGATATCTTCTGCAGTGCTGTATTTCAACTCAGGGGACAGGGGACATGTCCAAATCAGCGTGGTTGATGCATAGATGAAGGGGTGAGGAGACTTAAGAGAGACAAGGGTGCATTTGTGATCCACCATGCATTACCATCTAATGTCAGCAGCCAGATGCCATCTTAAAATCACTGTCTAACAGGCTGGGACCTCTTCCAGTGAGCTAACAGCACAAAGTCACTGAATTTGGCTTCTGAGGTCTGAGAAACCGATTGTGACAAAAACAAGAAAAAGCATTCAGTTGAGAATGAATCATTTCACAGGAAGCTGTTGCGGTAAACAGTTGCGCCATCACTGGCTGTATGAGTGCAACCCTCATGTATCCACTTAACTTATGTGGCCCAATGTGTCATGCATTGAAGACATTATCTTTAAAAGTGGTGGTCAAATAGAAAAGTTAATCTACACATTGTGGTGTGCTACTCCACCAGATATACAGCAGAGTTAAGAGAATGCTACAATGTAATGCAGGCCTCTTGTAGATACTGTATGTTGAGTGGTCTTAACAGTAGGGTACCCTCTATGATTATCTCGTCAGCAGTGTCACTGAATAGCTTCCCAGGAAACTGGTTCCAGACAGATGTTTCCAACACAAACTGAGATATACTGAAATTAATTTAGTCCAGACACAAAAGTGGATCCATTCGTCTGCCAAACTGCTCGTAATTGACCTTTATAACTCTTCTCACCCAGGGCTGAGGCTATGTGTAGTTTCTTAATGCATTTTTCTCATCAGCATGAGCTACAGCTCTAGGCAGTATTTTCTACAGATTTGATATCCAGTAAAGAAATGACATAGATTAGTTTAAAGAGGAAAGAACAAGTCCCAATTTTATAGCCTCTCTGATCCTTCCCCCTTGCCTCTTTTATCAGACACACTGGTATCAGTCCTGCCTGCCACTTGTCTCAGGTAGCCAGACCTACTGTATTTCCACAGTGCTGTGTTGGCGGCAGTGCTAGAGAAAGGTCTGGAAGTACCCATCGTCATTCTGATATAGGGTGAAAATCCTCTGGATTGTATCTCTCTAAACCAATCACAGCTATCTTGTTCAGTTCTAAGCTCAAGATGCAGCGATGGTGCCCTGGCAAAACGGTAGCACGCAGATAGGGGAGGAGAATGCCTGCTGAAATAGCCGGCTAAATGCAGGCACATACCCACAGTCTGCATCTGTTGATTCAGACTTGCCTGCTTCTGACTGAGAGCTGGAAGGGCTTGGAGTCTGTTACTCATGGATTGATTATTGAGTGGGTTTACAGGCCATCTGCCCAAGAGGGCAGCCTTATTTTATTGTTAAGATGTCTTATTGAATAGTCAAAACAAGAGATGATTGTGATGATTGAGTATGCTGTGTCTGTGTGGAATGAACCACTATTCCCTCATTCATATATTCCTAAATAGGGGAATCTGTTGAGATCCCTAGTTGGTTGTTACCCACTCACATAAATGTGGTGAATTCCAACACTTATAACAGAAGTGGGCCCATCCGTGGCAGCTGACGTTAGACTATATTAGCTTAGCAAACAAAATAATATTTACATGTCTATTTACATGTCTGTGCCAGAGGCCACACTTTGTCATTGTCTTATGATCTGTCAGTGCTGCTACAGGCTGAGATCTTGTTGTAATAATGATAGTAAATATTGTGGATAAGCTAAAACATTTGATGAAGAGGAAACATTTATGATGTTCATTGCTAAGTTAACTGGTTAGGCTATAGATGGAATGTGAGATTTTACAAGGACAAGTTGAGTCCTAGTGTGTTTTGTAGCTTTGATGTTCAAGCATGATGTTGGCATTGTACGTTTCAGCAACTCTGTTAATTTTGACAACTATTTTAGATTTGTCTTAGTCTTGAGACAAAATACTCATTAGTTTTAGTCTCATTTTAGTCATTTTTATCCTCCATAGTGTTAGTCTAGTATTAGTTGTGGAAAATTCAAAACATTTTAGTCAACTTTTTGTCATTTTGTTTTCTATATGTTTTTTAATCATAAAAACTAATCCAGTGAGGCTAATTCATGTTTCAGAAATTAGGTTGTATGAAAATTTCTTTACAATTTTTTTCTACAACTACTCTGCACACTTACAAACTGTCATTTCTCCAGCAGTATTTGACAGGTTTAAGGGGTGATTTACGAGCAGACACTTACTGATTGTCATTTGAAAAGCTCAACATCTCTATTTATGCTCTCAAAAACTTTGACACCACAAATAACTAATCTGAGACAACTAGGATTTGTACCCAGGGTCATTGTAAAATCTGACTTATCCATCTCACTGTTAAGAAGCTGAAAAATAATTAAAGCCTGAATTCTTTCTTAATCTGCAACATGTTAGTCTGGAGGTTTAAACTTGTGTTCTCTCACAGAGCTGGTGAGTAAAACTAAACATTTACACTGCAGTTCAGTGGCTAACTGCTAACAGCCACCGCTGCAACTAACAAACTCCACAAATCCATTCAGCAGCTCCACCATCCACAGGCAGACACACACTACTGTTTATTTACTGCTGAATTACAGCTCACAACTTGCACCAGCGGCTGATGCTACTCCAGTGTGAGTGTTTTTGCTGGCAAGCGGAACATCCTGGCTCAGACTATTTACTGGCGTTTACCAACCTGTCACTCATGCAGCATTTGAAGATAATTATAAGCTTTCAATGTCTGATAGACCACCACCAACATTTTCATCACGTCTTGTCTCGTCAGCGAAAATGAAACATAGATTTCGTCTTACTTTTTATTCTCAAGATCTATTTTTAGCTCGTCAGTCTTTTTTTTTTGTCATGGAAAAAAGGTTGTTGACGAAAAAGTTTCGTCATAGTTTTCATCAACAAATTTAACACTGCTGCAACCATAGATGCGTTACATTTGTGCGTTATTATGTAGTGGATACGTTGAAACTTTACGTTTCAACACATATAGTTACATTTAGGCACAAAGACCACTAGTTTATGGTTAGGAAAAAGATCACGTATTGGCTTACAGTACTCGGTTTGGGGGCACAATTCCGGTGTGAAAAGGAAAAGGAAACCCAGCAATGACTTACCTAATCACAATCAGTTTTGTTGTTTCTTGGTCTTGAAGAGTGGTCTGCAGTGGTCTGCAGCTTGGCAGGCATCTCCCTGAGATGTCACGCCATCCACAATCCCCTCCACCTCCAGATGACAAAGTCAGCTCATATACTACGTCACGTTATAAACATTAATATAATAAGGATGAAACGTACAAATTTAATGTATTTGTGGTTTGCAGAGCTGTACAATGCGAACATTTTCTTCTGGCAAATGGGCTGCAAGATGACATTTTAGAATACATCATCAACTGTGTTAATGTCTTAATATCTTTTTTTTTTTTTTTTTGGCAACTTTGGATTTATCTTTGGCAGAAACAGCTCTAGGACCAGCCCTCAGCCAGTACAAACCTGAACAGTACATGTTACCTAAAGGTGTGAAAATGGAGCATGGGCACCAGTGATGTAGTGTGTCATTCTTTTAATCTTTTTAAAGCTAACTAAGACAACTGACCTAAAATTGAAAATCATCTGTCCAAAGAAACCTTTCTCCTTTCAGTCTCGAAGATGAGTTCCAGACTGTCAGGTGATCCAGAGAAGGAGGAAGAGGAAGATAATGAGGAGGAGGAGGAGGGAGAAGGAGAAGAGAGCCTCAACCCAACAGAGGTGAAAATGAGTCAGATAGTGATGCCCTGCCACAGCAACCATCGACAGGAGCTGAGCGTGGGACAACTGCTTAAGTGGATAGACTCCACTGCCTGCCTTTCTGGTGAGGTGTGTGTGTGCGTGTATGTGTGTATGTGTGAATATTAGTCATGTGATGTTTGTTGAAATGATTTCATTTGTAAGTGTCCACAGTCTGTTGTAACCACTGACTAGCTGGGCAGGACATGACACATGTCTGTTTCATATGGGCAGCTGAGAGGCATGCTGGGAGTCCCTGCGTCACTGCCTCTATGGATGACATCCACTTTGAACACACCATCAGGTAACAGGACGTGTGTACAAAGGCGTGGGTCCTTCTGATTTGCTGGTGTGTTTATGTGTGTATTCATTCTATACTCATTTTTCCTTTATGCCTCTCTGTTTAGTGTGGGTCAGGTGGTGAACATCAAGGCAAAGGTCAACAGAGCCTTTAACACCAGCATGGAGGTCAGATAATTTTGCATTGTGTTCTTGCAGTGTATCACTTATACTTTTAAACATCCTTTTCTACAAACAAAGACACTTACTCATTCTTTGTTTCTTTACAGTCATACCATAATACCCTTTGTTATCTCCACCAGGCGTAAATGAAGATGTTGTGAAACCTTTTACTACAAAAGACTTTTTTGAGAAGTTCATTTTTGTTGTTTTATTTTAAATGGAAGGAGGTTGTCTGTAACCATTTAGCATAGAGGGAATCATGTGTTTGGTCCTGTGTGTGCATTTTATTGTATTTTTATAAAATTTCATTTTTAAGCTTTCTTTTCATATATTTTCTGTTCACATTTATGACTGTATGCTCATGGACCACTCATGATTCACTGCGATTCATGGTTGTTGAATAACTTGTTTATGACTTTTTTATACCGTCACTGACTGCTGACTTCTCACTTCTTTTAGTGAAAAGAGACTTCTCTGGTGGGGGCGCAGGTTTTATGGAAATCTTCTCAGCTGGCAACAAGTCCTACAGTCTGTTACAGGCCATATTTTGGCTTTTGTCGCTGAAATACTGCCATCTATAAAAAAAGTTTGGTCTTATTTTGAACAGGAACATCTGAAGATTAATACTATGCGCAATAGATTATGATCCACTCAAATACAATACCACATGAATAAATCCCCATTTTTGTTATCTTCACTGCCATCTTGACTGTAAGGGAGCTGGGAGTGACAATACCACAGGGTGCAGCCCTCTGAGTCAAAAACACACAAGACGTGTATTTTTATTAGCTTCTGGGGCACTTCTGAAGGGCGCTGCACCTGCTGGAATTACAGGAATTGTCTTGAGTGGTCGCAGTTAGCCCGGGGCCACCTGGTGGAGATATTCACTCTCCTGGGTACACTTGCAAATTCACCCAAATGAAAACAAACTTACTTTGTCATGTACCGTTAATTCTCAAATAACAGCCTATATTAAACTAGATGGCAGAGAGACATAGGCTTATATTAGAGACAGGCCATTATATAAATAAATAAACTTATCAACACACTAATTCTGTGTTGTGGGTAAAATATATTTTTTAAAGAATTTATTTATAAAAAATAAATATGGTTCATAAAATATTTTGATGTGCCTTAATTTTTCTAACTTGTAACCTTGCCCTGTGCCAGACAGACAAGAATTCACAACTTCAAACAATCAAAAAATGTGTTAAAAGCCTTCAAATTAAAACTAACAGTTTTAAAACTAAACTAACAGTGCTGATTACATCAGTGTAAAAATGTGCTACTATAATCATCATCTTTGTTTTACATGATACTTACTAATGAAAATGTTGGCCCTGTAAAGTTGTGTCTCGGGTTTTTTGTCAACTCCGTCAGATTTCTGCAAAAACATAATTTAATCAGTTATGAAAGGGGTTAGCTTTATCACAAGGACTCCTGTTTCACTTTCTGGTTTCCGAGAAGTGGGAATGCTGCTCAAGCACTGGTAAGCTTTCTATTTTTTGATAAATTCATTAAATAATATTGATATCGAATGTGTCTCAACCATAACACACCAATTCCGTAGCCCTTCTAAATCCAAACTAAATAAGAATTATGGATTAAAAATGAGTATTTTGATTAGCATTAAGAGGACTTTTAGCAACTTAGAAAAATAAAATGACTTATGACAACTGCTGAGAAATTGATAAATATGGAACTTTTTGTCAACTCCGTCTGACATCCATCACGTATGTTATTCAAAAGAAAAATTCAATCACTGGGAAGTTGGAACATTACAAGGTTTTATAGTCAAGACTTTGATTTTTTAAAATACTTTTTAAAAAGTGAGGTGTTGTCCCAATTGTCAATAGGTGACATATATACAGTATATATATAGATATATACAGTATACAGCGCTAAACGGTTAAAGACAACCTACTTTTGTTAAAAATGAAATGATAAAAAATGAACCTCTCAGAAAAGTCTTTGGAAATAAACCATTTTTTTAGTATCTTCATTTAAAATATTATCTTTCCCAATGTGCAAATGGGCCCTTTTTACATTTTTGAACCTCCTACACAAATGTATTTATCTATATAAAACATGTCCATCAGTATTTTTTTTGCCTTGCCTAGTTTTTTCAAGTTCAGCTAATTTGAATGCAAAAGGCTGGTTTCCAGTGGTAAAATACCAAATGATGTCCAAATATAAATGTAATTGTCCAATTACAGCTGTTACTAAGCTACTTGTGTTTGTCACATTGGTAAAGTAATCCTTTAGTGCTGACACCTAGACTATATGAAAAAAGTGTATTACCTCAACACTATTTAGAATATCAGGGATAATCTATGGTCAAAGCAAAAGAGTTTGACCATAGATTATCTCTTATATATTCCATCTAAGGTGGGCATACAGGTGAGCTGTGAGGACCTGTTCTCTGATCGTCACTGGAGGGTTTGTCACGCCTTTGCCACCTTTGTTACTCAGCGCACAAACACGGGAAAAAAGGTAAGGGGTGGGTTGTATGGAATAGCAAATTATTTTTTAATGACCCTTTTGGCTGTTAAGAATGTATGTGATGTGGTCGGTGGCAACTTGCTACAAACTGACTGCACATCCACATCGAAATTATTGTTTTAAAGCAGAAAAACAAAGTGAATGTAAAAACAGATGCAAATTTCATTTTACGCAGTTTAACAGTCTGTATTTGTGTGTGTGTGTGTGTGTATTGTGAAAGGCTCTTTGACACTAAGTAGACACATTTGCTGGCATTTACTCACAGGTGATCCTGAAGCCAATTGTACCTCACACTGAGAAAGAGCAGGTTGAATACAGTGTGGCTGCTGAGAGACGGAGGGTCAGGATGCTTCACGATGACATCATCAAAGATCTACTCTCCCATGGGTCGATCCAGCAGGGTAGGTTTGAGGCATACTACCACATCACAGCATACAGCAGTCCACATTAAAAGTAGCTGCTGCCCCCTGATACAGCAGATACTGCAGCGACTCTGGAGGTTTGTTGGATGGTGAAAGTGAAGGACAGTAACTCACTACAGAGTATCTGGACTTTAAACACAATGAGGCAGTGATGAAATATGAAATGTGATATCAATAAAAAGGATTGTTTTGAGTCATTTGATGTTACTTTCTGGAAACAGTTGGCGTGTTGAAAGCACATCAGTGAGCTACACTGTTGCACTGGATGACTTGATCTCTCATTAGCATGAACACAGACTGTAGTTTATTTTGACCCAATCCCACATACACCATGCTGCCAGAAATACTCACTGGGGCACCAAATGTGAATTCATGCGCTGCTGAAAAATTCATTCATTCTACATATATACTAGAACTATATATTAGGTTGTAGATTTAAAGACTTTTGTTTTCATTGGGAAGAGAAAATACATAGAATAACACCAACTGTATTGTTTAAAAACTCGCATTAACTTTCAAATGTGTGTGTGTCTGTGTGTCAGTCGACAGCTCAGCAGTAGCCAATGCGGTGGCAGCAGAGAAGACCAAGGTGGAGAGTGTTGAACTGGTTCTACCCCCGCATGCTAACCATCAGGTTATTTATTTATGTATGGCTCTGTCTGCCTCTCTGTCTGTTAATCTCAGGAGAGCAAGAGATCTGCAGTTATTTTCTGATTTGATAATATGTGGTAATTAGTAGGGATGCACTGATTTATAGTATTGGCTGAACATGGTATCGGCCAATATTTGCCTTGTTGACCGATGTTTTGTTTGTCACATGTTAATTTTGTGCACGCTACAAAGCAGGGCTCTAGACTAATGGCGTCCTGTCATCCTGGGGTCAATCAAAAACGTGTTTGCGAGGAACAGAGATCTTCCCCGGGATGTCTTTGAGACGAAAGGACGCAGTAAACTCACTATTGATGTGTCAGGGGATGCACCCTATTGTTTCCCTGAAATGCTTCATTGTGTACAACAAATCCATTTTGAAATCATCAGGTGGAGAGCTAGTTAACCTTAGCTGTTAGCTGTTAGCTGCCGGTGGCTGGAAATAACTGTTGTCAGAGGTTGCATTGATTTGCATTATGATTCCGTTCCAGTTATTAAACAGTAAAATAAGTACTGGGTGAAATGATAACTTTATCACGATGTGTTCAAATGTAATCTAGTAAAATGTAGTTTTTGGCAAGAAGTACAATTGTCTGAAGGAGAAATTTATTGATGTTTCACAGCAATATAAAACAGATATTAAACAGGGAAGGGAATTATGATGTATTAAAAAAGGCTTTTAAAGCAGTTTCTTTTAAAAATCTTTTTTTTTTTGTGAAAGAAGGATATATTAGGGACTGTACCCATACTGCATCTTTAACCGCCTGGAAAACGCAGGTTCGGGCGCTGGAGGCGACTCTGACTAAATTGTTATTTTAAAACTTTCACAATTGGTGTGTCCTTAATAATTAGTGCTGTTTTTGGTAACACTATACTGAGAATCTTTGGGTAATATTGTGATTATTCTGTCCTATTGACTTCAGTTAAACATTTTGGTTTGGTGCCTTTGTGCAGCATATTATAAAAAATTCAGGTATTTAATGAATTAAAGGCTTTCACTGTTCATGCACTGTATATTTCATTTGTGTTGTGCCAATATAGTCCTTAGGGGTGCGTTGACTATATCATTTATCTAAATACCAGGTAAATACATTTGGAGGTCAGATCATGGCCTGGATGGTGAATGTAGCTACGATTGCTGCCAGGTACAGTTTCACACACACATTTTAAATACTTTATATGTATTAATCAGAGTTACAGATTTAGTGTCCTCTCATTTTTTTTTTCTTATGATATAATCTCTCTCTTTCTCTTTGCAGTCGTCTTTGTCAGGCTCACCCGACTCTGCAGGCCATCGACATGTTCACCTTTAGAGGACCTTCTCAGGTTGGTGACAGACTGCTGCTGAAAGCTATAGTCAACAACGCCTTCAAAAGCAGGTATGAGTATGTGCTGAATCACCCATAAAGATACAGATGATAAGATAACACTTGACTGATTTATGTGGAGAAAACAGGTCATGATAACATGCCGGTTTTTAAAGGGTACAGCAAAGAAACAAAGACAGTATTTAACTTAGAATAAAAAGAAATGAGTGATTGTCTGTGTGCTGCAGCATGGAGGTGGGGGTGCGAGCGGAAGCCTACCAGGAGGAAGGGCCTAACAGACACATAAACTCTGCATTCATGACATTCGAGGTGCTTGACGACCAGGGGAAGCCATGTGCGTTACCGTGGATTCGACCCGAACCCTTGGTGAGTCACCTAAAAAAATGAAGTACTGATGAAGAACCCATTAAGATGTCTGATTTAGAAAGGTGGTACAGAAATAACAAATCCCCTCAAATATCCTCTAAGAAAAGCTCCTTTGAAACAGCGGGAGAAGGTGGGGTCAGCCTTTTGTTACTCTCAGAAACTGATAAATTGACATTACCACTGTTCCAACTTCTGATAATAGATAATAGATCTGTTAGTCACCACTTCCCTTAAAAAAGTTACAGCATATTGGCTAATAATTTCCCAGCCATGACAGTTATAAACTGCAGTCTTATTAACTTGTATCTAAGTTATCCCCATGTAGAGACACATCGGCCTTGTGTTCATTGAAGCAGCTCTTATCACAATGTCCTACTCCTACTTGTAAGAGTCACACTGAGCTAGAGTTCAACTACAGAGTGAAAGGTGCTGTGTTTATGGGTACACTGTAATCATGAGATAGTAATACTATCAGCATAAACAAATATGACCAACCCAGACATCAGCAGCGGCCTCTCCAAGTCTTTGTTGTTGTTACATTGTTACACACCAGGCTATATTTGGCAGGAAATCGGCTGAGTTATGCTGTTACGGTGGTGTAGTGGTTAGCACTGTGGCCTGTAGTGGGTTTTAGGAATGAACCCTCTGGCTTGCAGGGGCCATTCACATGTTTGCATGTTTCCATGTGTCAGTGTGGGTTTTCTCTGGTTTATCCAGGTTTCTCCCACAGTCCAAAGACATGCAAATTAGGTTAATTGTTGGATCTCAATTGCCCACAGATGTAAATGTGAACATGAAAGGTTGTCTGTCTCTCTCTATTACCCTTTTCCCACAAAAATTACCATCAGTATGCAGATTTTTAAGCATGGGTAAATACGCTAAAAATAGGTTATAGACTCCTTCCCATTGTGTACATGGCTTCGCTGCAGACGGATATGCCTTTCTGTGTGTGTGTGTGTGTGTGTGTGTGTGTGTGTGTGTGTGTGTGGTTTTCCTTTTGTTTTGTTTTTTTTTGGTGTGTCATGTTTGATGTCACGGACAGGCCTGAAAACAGGTTAGTAAACAGTAGAAAGCAGCATGGAGGACTGAAAATTTAATGGTGGTTACTTCTTTTAATATATCTCTTATTCAGTCTCTCTTTCAAAGTTGGTGCAGACTAATTTGGATTGGTGTTTGAATGCTGCTGTAGCGGAGACAGATGGTATTTTGTGGTGGTATGTCATTGCATTTTGACAGTAAAGGGGCTACAATTAGCATGTTCACCTGTTTGTTGTGCTTCCACCAAATCGGAGTCAAATGTAAAGCTCATAAATATCTCCTGCACAGTCATCTGCCCTGGGTGTGAATGCCACTTGTCAGCTTTCCTATTAAATTAAAAAGCCAGATGTTAGCGGATTTTAGCAGTTTTTTTGTGCAGTGGGAAAGGGGCTTATGAGTAAGCCTTGTGCTGATGTGTCCATAGTATACCCAGCCTGTCACCCAATGTGCAGCAAGCCAAGATAGCATAAGCAGTTTCAGACACTACTCTGTAGTTAAAGCAGGGAGTAAGTCTTACCCTGAGTAAAACCACCCACTGTTATAGGAAGACACAAAGCAACTTTATTTGGGAAAAACAGCTGCACTTAAAGTGCTAGTGCTGTGGTCAGTCATCTAAGATGAAAGTGCACTTTGCTAATTTTACAGATCAGTCATGAGTAATACTACTCAGCTTGTGAAAACAGGTATATAATGGATTCTGTGGTTCCGGAGGAGCTTAGTCAAGTCTTATGGATATGGACAACAACCCTGATGATGTCATTGGAGTTATTTTGGCTTGGGCCTGTGTTAAAAAGTTGGGGCATGGACTTTGAAAGATGTAGGTGCTTGTTAGGCAGGGAGAACCTGAAAAAAGTAACACTACCATGTTGAATTATGGGAGATGTAGGATGCAGTGAATTTGGAGTTTGACCTATGTTAGGGATTAAAAATCGGGATATCTTGGCCTCTGCTGCTTTAGTTTTGGTCAGTCTTTCTTATATTTCTTTTGAGTCTCACCTCAATTAGGAATGCACAATATTTCTTTTTTGTGATATGCTGATACTTTTGATACCAACATACACAAAACTTTTTACCATCTAATTGCAGACAGCATTAAGTCTCTCCTGTAGCTGAATTAACATGCCTACTTATATCGTGATGGCACACTGGAAGATGCAGACATAAAATACAATGCTTTTCAAAATGTACACATTCACTGGGCAAAAAGGGAAAACTACTTTAACTAAGGTTGCATGTAAAACAGGCCATATTTATTAAATATTTTCAAACAAAACTGTAAAATACTTTCAACTAATTCAAGTCGCACAATTAAAGCGTCATCTCATCAGCCACTGGCATCAGCAGAAATGTTCTTTTTGGCCTAATGCCGATATTTCATTTTAAAGCCTTCATCTGCCGATAGGATACTATCACAGTGTCAAAATGAATACATATAACATCTTTGGTTTAAAAAAAATTTGGAATATGATCACTGTAGCCCTAAACAGGACAAGAGGATGTAAAAGATGGATAGCTGAATTGACATGTTTAATTTCTCTCTGTATGCGTCTTTGTCACTCTAGGAAGGGGAGAGAAGGTTTCAAGAGGCCATAGCAAGGAAGAAGATCAGATTGGACAGGTAACCTGCCTGGGTGTTCCTGTGAAGAGCATGTACTTTCTTATCTTCAAGATCAAAAGTGACACTGTTTATGTACTTTCTAACAAACTTGAGTCATTAAAAATAACAGAGATTGAACTTTTCGGTAAAAAGCACAATCTGCAGAAATTTCAGTAGGCAGTAACCAGCCCTATGCATAGTGTAGAAATGTGTATCACACTGCTGTTCATGATAAAAGGCATGCATGAAACACATAAACATTGGTCTACAGTGCCACAAGTGTTCAAAACACTGGTATTGGAATTTCTCAATTATGGGATCAATAAAGGTGTATCTTATCTTATCACAACAGGATACCTCAGTTTTAAACTCTGAACATGAGTTTGGTGTTTTAGTGGATTTAGATGAATAGATTTATCAAACAGTTCTGGCATTACAGTTACATTATAAAATGCTTCTAATTTAGCTCCTTTTGCTGTTTCAGAAAGTACATCATTTCCCACAAGCAGGGCGAGGTCCCTCTGTCTGTACCCTGGGACCCCAGAAACCAGGTGAGGAAACAGTTAAGGAATCACTCAGGACTACTAATATGAGCTGTCCTCTATATGTTAACTTGTGGAGAGGAATGGATGCAGACTGCACAGTTCTTTTTACTGACCCCTACTTCACTGACGAGTCAACAGTGTCACTAGTGTTTGGTCATTATTATGGGACTAGATCCCATTTGACCCAAAAATTCTGGACTAGAGTCCAGTGCTTCCATTCAGGACCTGAGTTACCAGCTGGCATATTGCGCTCTCTGGTGCTTTAAACAAGAAACATATGTCAAAGACAAAATCTGTGTTGTGTGGTTAGTTATATTCTCACACAAAAAGAGCAATTAGAGAGCAGAACGTGGCAGGGGGGTAGCTTCCTAACAATGCTACTAGTTTCCAAGTGGCATTTTGAAATTTAGAGGCTCTAAACAAACAAGAGCAAGATATATTTTCAAATGATTGTGCAGTAATGTAGCTGTGTGGAAGTTTAAAAATGGTGAAATAAATGAAAAAAAATCAAACAAAGAAATTAAGTGAAATACAGTTAATTTATGATATGTTTTTTCCTTTTTATGTAGGTGTTTACAGTGATATAATTTAATAACATATATTTAATGACATCTTTCTTCAATCCTTTAATAACTGAATGGGCGTTTTTCATTGTGACATGAATTTTCAATGCCACATTAAAATCGAAACATAGAAAATAATGGTGTGATGTGTTTCAGTGTTGTACAGCAGAGGGCACCAGAGACCTGTCAGTAGTTTTCATGAAGCGGTGCGGCGTATGGCTTGGGGCGCACATTACTTTTGACCCAAGTCTGAGAGAAAGGTAACAGAACCTGACGCGCATTCTGTTATTTATGTCCAAACCTGACCCGAGCCTGACGTGATTACACACGTGGCACAGTATAAACGACTGTCAAAAGGCATTGTTCATAGGTCATAGGCAGATTGTTTTAACACGAACACACACACATTAATAAAACATGGGTCTTATTATTTGTGTATGTCAAGTCTTAATGTCCTTGAACTCTTTTGAACTGTAACTGCTGTTAACTGAACTACATAATCCAGCCATCATGGCTTGTAGCATCCATTGTCGACGGTGTCAGTGATGTCCTCCTCTGTTTGATCCGTCTTCCAGTAATGCTAAAGTTCTGTTCACTGCTGCTGCTAGCCAGAAATGCCAGAATGTCCTGAGCAAGTACCACAAGCTTTGGGCAACACAGTGTTGGGCAAGTTACTTTCAAAATGTGATTTATTACATATTAATAGTTACCTTCATTTGAAATTAATAAGTTACTTTACAGTATTACTCTGTGTAGACTAATAAGTTACTTATTACACTACTTTTGTATTACTTTGACCAAAATGAGCTCAGGAGAACTAATGCTCATTTTAAATGGATGATGGTCATGTTGTTTCACAGCAGGTAATCAAAGTGCAGAAGCTCCACTTTATTACAGTTCATTTCAAATCCAGTGCTTCACAGGTCTGACCCCTTCATGCATTCATTTACAGTGGTTACCACTTTGTATTGCAATCCCATACTTATTTTAATAATAGCCTGATGATAAAGAACAATTAAATAGCCTAAACCTTTTAAAATAAATGAATAGCCTTGGACACAGAGAGGGTCAGGCAGATGATCAAAATCTAATAATTATGGGATATAGATAAATATTTGTGGGCCTTTGATATGAAATACAATACACAATTTTGAGGTTGGCACAACAAATGTTATGGTGTGCTGGTTAGCTACAACAGCACTGGAGAGAGAGTTACGCATAAGAACAGGACTGTGTGCCAGTGTTGCTGCAGCTGTAGGGGATGTGAATAGAAACACATCCAATGTATACTAACATCACCCAGATGTGCTGATCATCAGTATGAGGAAAAAACAAACCAGAGACCAGCTCCTAATCCCCGCTGCTTTCAAGCAGCCTTAGGACACAAACGCAGGACAGGATGCGTTGTAGATGTTGCGGGTGTATTAATGGGAACACATTTAACTTGATAACGCACAGCCCCAGATGTGCCGATCGCTGGCACCCTTACAGGTCTATAATGTAGCCTACAATGACATGACAACACACAACAACATGCACGAGCTATTTTTTCCGGTGGCGCACTGGCGGAATTGGAGTAGTGTGGATCAGTGTGGATGAATGAAAAATTAACAGTTTATTTCGGGTGGTAACATGTTACGTGGCATTGTATATGTATATGCAAAATACGATAGGGTTATCACAGCTGGCCCACCTTTACAGGTACTCTGCCCTGCACCGTCTGTGAGCCAGTGGCAACGCTCTCTCCTCTCCTTCCATCTTTCAATCACCAGCACTGGGCAAGATTTGTGTGGCTACAGCAGGTCATCAGATGTGCACCCTCTCGGTTTTTGATGTTTCGTCAAATTAAGCCCATGACACATCGGGAGGGCTTGACAGCAGATTCCAGCTTCCTGGGTCTACCCCTGCTGACCACCACCCAACTCTATGCTGTTGGTCCTTCGACAGGTTGGCTCTGCCACCTCACCTCCCGCTAAATCCAAATCCAACAGGGCACTGCCTTCGCCTGCCTGGTGATGTTGCCTACCAGCCGCTTCCTGGCCACACCTTCAATCCCCAACCGTCCAAGTGTTCTCCAGAGTGACTGCCCAGCGATGCCCCTGCAGCCGACCTCTACTGGTAGATTCCAGGCCTTCCATCTGCTTTGCTGTCTCTCGAGGATAAGGGCTTGATATTTTTTGAGCTTGCGCTCAATCCTCTCTTCCCAGGGTACTGTTACCTCTATGAGCACCACCTGTTTGGTACCACTAGACCAGAGGACCATATTTGATCTGAGGCTAGTGTGGGCTATCTCCTCTGGGAATTTGAGCTGTTTCTTCAGGTCTACCTGCATCTCCCAGTCATTTGCTGAGGCAGGATGCCTTTGCTCCTCAGTCCCGCTGCAGCAGTCTCTCCTGACCTGATGAAGTTGATAAAGTGGGGCCCGGTGGAAAGATCTTTCTGCTTTTTCCTTACCTGTTCCACCCCATCTGCCAACTGAGCCAGGATCTTGTCATGACGCCACCGGAATTTCCCGTCTGCCAGGCTTGACTGGCAAGATGAGAGGACATGCTCCAGGTTAGCCGGCTTCCCACAGAGCATGAAGCTGGGGCTCTCTGCCAACCCCCATGTGTGGAGGTTTGATGGAGTAGGCAGGACATTATAGACAGAACACAACAAGAACTTTATCCGATGTCCTTCCATGCTCCAGATGTCCTGCCAGGTCAGGGCCCTCTCTCGTACTCCCTCCCACCTTGTCCAGCTGCCTTGCTTCTTCATGGCTACGGCCTTGACATGCCGTGTTTCCTCCTCAGCCTTCCGGACCTATCTCTCTGCACCATGCTTCGTTGTTCCTTTGGGTCAGCTTTTTTCCAGCTTGTTCTGGTTGAGCGACCCAGTCCACACAACACACAACAACATGCGCGAGCTATTTTTTCCGGTGGCGCACTGGCGGAAGTGGAGTAGTGTGCATCAGTATGGATGAATGAAAAATGAAAACAATTAACAGTTTATTTCGGGTGGTAACATGTTACGTGACATTGTAAATGTAATGATATTGCCCGAAACCCTGTTGCTAACGCATTTTATTACCTTGTTACTGCTAAAAGGTAATACAGTACTGTAACGGGTTACTTGTGTTACACCAGTGTTGGGGGTAATGCGTTACTTTTTTGTGTTACCCCCACTGTGGTAATGTTGGGATATGATAAACTTTGTTTGACATCCTCAGTAGTTAGCTAGCTAACATTAACTTACATGAATTTTTACCACCTGAAATAGCCTATGTGTTGTCACGTAAATAACAAACCCCAGCACTGATTGAGAAGAAGGCCGTCATCGGCCATGACTGGCACGTCATCGGCCATGACTGGCACCTGAACATTACTTGTAAATATTTGGCTGAACCCAGCCTGACCTGTCAGGTCCTGTCCAGATCCACGCTCTAGTTCAGAGGAGCTTTTTCTTTATGACAGCAGGACACATCTTCAGTGTCAAAGTGAAAAGGAATCAATTGCTCAATCACAGCTTTCGGGTGGGACCATGGATGTGGCATATCATCACTGACAGGAGCTTATGGCAACCATGAGGGACAGCCTTTTACATTAAAACAGCATTTTATGTTCAAGCTGGCTAGAGGGACACTACTATTGACTGTACATTTAGTTACAGTTGTGGTTGACTGCTTGCAGTTTTAAGAGATGGATTGTGCTGCATGAAGCTTTACTAACACGCTCAACAGGATCTCTGTGGCACAATTCTTAATGTGGCATGGGCAACTCATATCACAATGAAAAATGACTCATTATGTTGTTTAAGACAAAAACTAAATAACTGCATTTAACACAATCCATAAATGTAGCACCATTTTACAGTAGTCACACAGTATGTGTAGTTGTTAATGTATCATATAAACTATTATAATTGTTAGTGATATTTAAAAACACACACACACTCACTCGTAACAAGCTTTTTTATTAGCTTTAACTTGTAAAACTGAATGACTTACATTATTACTTTAACTATTACTGTGTTTGACATTAGCCTGAACAAGGAATAACAGTAATGCTAAGTATGTTTGATCTGTAAAACTAGTGTGGCAGAAATGTCATGCTGTCATGAGACAAAGATACAAATTCATTCATTACCAAGCTAATATTTAAGATGAGACTGTCGCTTTTTGAAGGATGTAATAAGAATATTATTTTAATAGGATGGTCGTCAGAATATATAGTATTAGAATAGTATTTTCTGCTTTGTGTGCATGCCTATGTGTTTATTAGCTAATGCTGATGTATTTTGTGTGTCTGTGTGTTTCCAGGTGTATCTGAGCTATAACAATGTTTCAGCTCTGAAGATGTTGGCTGCTAGAAAAAACTGGCGCCTCAGCTCTGAGAAAGACAAGGTACCTGCTGGGAGTTCTTTTGTTTCATGTATGAGTTTTTTTTCTATTCTCTGGGGAGCTGAGTGATTACTGTGATTATTTGTTCCCAGGTTCGTCTTTACACCTTGGAGTACAAGTCCATGTTGAGTTTCAGGGTGGAATCAGAGGTGGATGTACCCGCTCACAGAGCTTTTAGTCTGCTGGCTGAGCTGAGCAACAGGACGAGCTGGGACACACATTATCAGTAATACTGTCACACATGTGCGCACACATACACACATACAAACAAACATGCACGCTTTTGGTAAGAAATCAGTTTAAGCTCGTTAAACTGTCTTCACTGCTTCTGTAAAGGTCAGGGTATAATGTATGATCTGATACAATATGATTTTAGAGGAAATGAGTGAAAGTTTAACTCCTTAAATGGTAAAAAAAAAGCTTTTTATGCCTCCTGGCCAGCGATAGCTGTGGCTGAAGAAATTATATTTTTGGGTTGTCCGTCTGTCCATCTGTGCCATCCTTGTGAACACAATATCTCAAGAACACCCTGAGGGAATTTCTTCAAATTTGGCGCAAATGTCCATTTTGACTCAACAATAAAGTAATTTGTTTTTGGTAGTTATAGGTCGAAGGTCAAGGTCACTGTGACCTTGTCAGTCTCATTCTTGTGAACAAGATATCTCAAGAACACCTTGAGGGAATTTCTTCATATTTAGTGCAAAGGTTGATTTGGACACAAGGAGGAAGTGACTACAATTTGATGGTCAAGAGTCAGCTGTCAAGGTCGCTGTGACCTTGCCTCCATCTCATTCTTGTGAATGCAATATCTCAAGAATACCTTTAGGAATTTATACATTTGGCACAAATGTTCACTTGGACTCAATGATGTTCTGATCAGATTTGGTGGTCAAATGTCAAGGTCAGTGTGACTGCGCAAAATATGTTTTTGGCCATAACTCAAGAATTCATGTGCTAGTTAGGACAGAACTTCACACAAATATCTAATCAACTAAAATAATGCAGTAATGACATTTTATATCCAAAATGTTGAAGGTCAACTTCACTGTGACATCATAATGTTCTGCATGAAACACTTTTCTGGCCATTAATCAATGTCATATCTCAAGAACAGAAGGGGAGACATTTGGTCAGATACTGAATTGGTGACATCAGTCATGGGTGTCCATCTTTAAACTGTGCTGACTGTGAAGATCCTCTGTGTTGTCGGGAAAATAGGTGTGAAGCATCCATGTTTTTACAGACATGGGTGTAAACTTAAAGAGAAACCTGACAGGTGCGCGGACGCATACAACTGCATGCAGTAATACTAGTTTTTATTACTCCCCTCCAATGTTTAAAGAAAAATTTTAGTGTGCTGTTAATCTGTAAAATTAGAGGCCACCATGTTGAAACCACCCACCAGTAGGAGCAAACTTTCTCATGCTACAGTAAAGAATCCAGATAGTCTAAGTAAGTTTGTAATTAGGGTAGGGATGAGCATGAGTACTGGAGTACCTTTTTGGACATTAGGATTTGAGTACTCGCCTCTCCCACATGTGAACAAGACTTTTATATATATATTTTTCCAATGGCATTTTTTTTTTTTTTTTGCAAGTACTCGAGTATTCTATAATTTAATGTGAGTACTTGAAAGTTTCAGGTAATAAAGCGGTGTAATACATATTCAGTGCCTGGGTGGAGGTATGTCCATTACATTAATGTTAACACAGGGTCCAAGTAATAGTCTGGGACAAAAACCCCTGCAAAACTGTAACTTGTAGTCTGTACACTTCTTTTTTTATGTACAGATCAAACAAACAAGATAGAGTATAGGGTGTTAATTAGTGACTTAGATGTTAATGTCCCAAAAGGGGCAATTAGTGGTACTCCACAGTAAATAATAAACAAAATGTAACTACAGTTAAAACAGAGAACAGAACAAGAAGACAAGAAAGAAAGTCCTTGATCACGATCTGTCAATAAATAAACCAGATGTATATTTGAATTTCTATCAACATCCTAATCAGTGGTATATCTCGGTGTCCTTTCCTTAATCAGGAATTGTGAGCTGATTCACCGGGTGGATGATGATGACTTTCTGTATCGTGTGGTGACCCCATCAGTGCGGCAGGGTGGAGTAGGTTCCCCGACTTCAGCCCTCCAGGGAGAAGGGATTCGCCAGGACTTCATCTTGTTGGCTTCTAAGAGGAAGCCGTGTGGCAGCGGGTCAGTAGAATAACTGGCTGGAATGTCTACATGACAAGTCAAAGTTCATACACCTCTGTCTTTGAGTATTTACTGTTAGTTCTTGTTTTTTTTATTGTCCTTAGAGATCCATACGTCATTGCACTGCGTTCAGTGTCCCTGCCCACTCACCCTCCCGTAGAAGGTTATAATAGAGGAGAGGTTCTGTGTGCTGGATTTACCATACTAGAAACCAAAGACAACAAGTCACTGGTGAGACAAATAGTAAGTTTAACTGATTAACAGCTGTGCATTTATATAAAATCTTAACAAACTTCCTCTTTTTCCTTGATCTTTTTCCAGATCAGTTACTTCAACCAGGCATCTCCAGAGGTTCTTCCCTACATCTCCACAGATATTGCTGGCCTCTCCTCCTCTTTCTACCACAGCTTCTGCTCCTGCAGCCAATACCTGACCAGGAACAGACTGCAGTCTGCCTCTGAGGTGCAAACAGACCAATACCAGGCCACGAGTACAGACAGTCCCACCTGTGATAATGAAGCTGACAATCTGTCATCTGCCCTCCACAGCACCAAGCTGTAGACAGTCAGTGGTACTTTAGGGCTGGGCGATATGGAGACAATCAAATATCATAATATTTTTGACCAAAAAAATTATATTCAATGATATTGAAGGATTAACCTTGGGTGCTTTGACAAAATATTTAGACAATTAGATTTTTGAGAAAAAATCATCAGTAATGTGGATAGAAGTAGATAAGGCAAACAATAGAACAGCAACAGCTAGAATAGTCTGTTTAAGTTCAAACATTTACAGCACTTTACTGTGATGCAGCTTTTAAAACCAGCATTAATGATATCCACTCTCTATGACTACATCTGTTTCATATCTGTAATAATGATATATTGCCCAGCCCTACTTTCCATACCAGTTCACGTCACAAATTGTAAAGTGAGGTCAAGCTACTGTTTATACAACGTAGTATGATTAACACTGTTGAAGTGTTCAGGAAAACGAAAGGTGACGTTTACATTATTTTTTTGTCAAAATTTGTTTTTAAAAGAAGCAGTGTATAAAATTTAAGGGGACTCAGTGGCATCTAGCAGTGATGATAGCAGAGTACAAAAAGCTAAAACCTCTCCTAGTTAGAATTTATTTCAGTGTTCGTTGTTTAGGAGGTTTTTACCAGGAGTCTCTTCCTCTCCAAAACAAATAGACCAGGTAATTAAAACTGGTAATAACACTGAATATAGCGTTTTCACATCACAAATCAGTATTTTTCCTATCCTGCTCAACACATCACAGAAGGGCCGCTAGGCCAGCCCCTGCTACTGTGTGCTCACCTTTTTTCCCCTGATGACTTAAGATCTAGATATTGAGGAGTTTTTTTTTTTAACCAGGAACCAGATTATCTACAGAGGTCTCTTCATCTTCAAAACAAAAAGACCTGAGGCCTGTACTATGAAGCAGGATTTGGAGTTAGTGAGGTAACTTCAGGGTTCAGTCTAGGTTTTCAGTACTACGAAGCTGGTTGTCTTTTTACCGGGATGAATCACTTACGCAGAACAGCTAACCTGCTCCGGAGCAGGTTAAGTTCAGACTTTCTGATCACAGCTTGTCAACATCCTGACCTCTGACCAATTAGATCACTGAAGAAAAAAGTATCTATGGATACAAGTCTGGAGTCTCAGGTAAAAAAGAGTAACCTATATATTGTTATAGGTCAGTAGAATAATTTCATTGTTCCAGGGCTCTATTTCCACTTGTTTTAAAACAGAGCTTCTAACAAACATAGAGATCCTTTACAACACTAAACACATGATTTTTACTCATGCTTAGTTTATTTTAGTTCACAGTGATAGTGTTGATATTTTACACTCTGATTCCATCACTGCAGCTCAAAATAACTTGACACGCCTTGTTATGAGAACTAGGGAGAGAAAGACAATCTTTTATTAGTGACATAATCCACACACAGTTAATTAGCTCCAGTTATTATAAATGCAACATTTGGGTCAGATAGACCTCATCAGTCATTAACTTGGCTACTTTTCAGCCTTTTACTTCAGTAGCAGAAACAGTCTGACATTACTTTAAAGTGTTTTATGTGACATATCAAAATACTCTAATACTAATACTAGGCTAAATAAATAAATAACATATCAATGTCACATATAGCCTAGGTATACCTATACGTAAATTAAGTCTTGGCTAATGGTGTATTTTTGGATAGTATTTTCAATATTTCTACATTTTCCATTATAAGATTACAGAGCATTGTTTACATTAAGATTTTACTGTCTTGCAGACGCAAACACTTTCAGTACCGTTTCATCTCATATCGTGTGAAGCACCCTACTTCATTCATGGTTCTGATGATGTCGCTTGAAATTAACAGCCCTGTCTCTTTCACATGAAAGCGCTCATGGCTGGAAAGGGAAACCTAGAGTTGACTGAACTACTTCATAACCAGCTTTGTAGTACCGGTTATCTAGTCGGACAATGTTAGGGGTAGTCAAACCAGATAACAAAAAGATATCTAGGGTAAGTTGAACTGGCTTCGTAGTACAGGCCTCTGGTTATATAAACCAGTAAAAAAACACTGACTAATGCTGTTTTACATTACAAATCAGTGTTTTTCCTGCGTTGTCATTGTGGAAGGGCTGCTGACTACGGTAGCTGATGCAAAAATGTGAATAGCACTATCTAGAGCCAATGTTTGATTTGTCCGTTCTGGGTTACTGTAGAAACATGGTAGTGCAATACGGTGATCTCCGTAGACAAGGACCAGCTCCCAATGTAGATATAAATGGCTCACTCTAAGGTTACGAAAACACAACAGTTCTTACTTTCAGGTGATTATACGTGAAAGAAAACAAAAGTATAATATTAGATTTAATTTCTGTCAATATATCACCCTAAATCCTCCACACTGGACCTTTAAACAAAGGTGTTAGTATAGAAAATCTAAGATCAAAGTGAGCATGGAAAAAAAACTGTCTCAGACACTCACATAGACACAATATTTAACCAGAGTCCGATGTAAAACATAGACCTGTGCTGTCTCAATTTGCAATTTTCCATACGTACACTTGCTATTTTGAGCGCATAAGTGCATTCACACTGACAAGCATGGCAAAATGCAGTGCACTGTGAGTACTATACCCTATATTAATATTGATCAAAAAGTTGAGAGTGGAACGCTGGACTCCCACCATCATTTGATTGCCATCTCGGCTTTGAGCACAAGGGAGTGGCCACCAAACTTGTGAAAATGGTGGCCTAGGAAGCTGCAGTTGTTCCAGTGAATAAGCAAAGAAACTGGCAGATATTTTCGTGGGTGACAGTCGTGGTCAAATGTTGGTGGTAATGCTCTGTCTATTTACAGTTTGCCATTACATAGAAGAGTTCAAACGTTGAGACTGTCATTTCTGATAAGTACCAACAGCCATGTTCGATATGAATCAACACTATCCTGTAGAACTTCATGCACTATGCAAGTACATAATGTACTATATGGAAGTGTACTAATAAAGCAAGTACATAATGTACACAGCACTGATTTCACTGATTTGGCAAATCTAACTGTAACCAAATTTGTAAATCTAACCAAGTATGGGGTTTATAGGAAATGCAGGGTTCATTTTTAGAAACACTAAGAGTGGCATTAAGTGGTGAGAGAATTGTTCCCATTTTCTGTCTAGAATTAGCACAAGGTAACATCTGTCTTTTGATAAAAACATTGATGTTTCATTAAATGCTTTTATAGGAATTTTAATAAAATGTTTTTAAAAAATATGTTTGCTATATCTGTACAATCAGAATTCAACTGTAAATGACACAACAAAATACAATTACACAACTGCAGTATGCCACACTGCTGAGACACTTCAGTCTGGACCAAAGTGGTCTACTGACCAACCAACTGACTGACATTGCCACGGTCGGAGTTGAGGTGATTAAGAATTAGTAATAAAATTTGGTTGAATCTAAATATTTTGAGAGAGACAGTAGCACAGTATAAACAGTTAGTCTATAGACATGCTAGCTCTGTAAGGGTGTAATGCTCACTGTAAAGAAAACCAATTAAGATGAGTCAAAGCTGATGTCTAAATGTTAAAATTGGCAAGTGGATTGTGTCACAGGAACCTTTTTTTGTATCGTGTATCAAAGGGATTTATTCACTTATGAGCAAGAAAGAGATGTGTGTGGCACTATTCCTCGTTTTTTTGTGGCATGATGGTGCAAGCAGAAACATAAATTATGTCCTAAAGTTCCTTGTGAGATTTGATATCAGCAAAGTGATTACAGTTCCTTCTGGGAGGATAATGAATGTCTTTACAATGGAGAGCTGTTCAGTCATAGACAGACGTCACTGAAACAAAAAGGTCAGCCTCCTTGTGGTGTTGGAGGAAAAGTTTGGGGAATCATTAATTGTCAAGTTTTACTCAGGACCAAAGTGCTGGACCAACCACACGATTGGAAGTGTGATCCTGAAAGTCCCATGGGAGCATAGCTATGTTCCTAGAATCCTATGATTCTCAGGTCATATGCTCCTAGGCTCCCATGTATCCTAGTTTAATATTCTGTTTACATACATTAACCCTGTTGTTGTGTTTGGGTCCCATTTGACCTGTTTCATGTTAAATATTTCAGAAATAAACTAACCTTACCTTAAAGCTTTTTCATAATCTTATTATGTTTACCTAATGCTAAATGTTTAATAATGTTTTTTCTCCCTTTTTAAATGCCGTCTCTTTTATTTTAATGAATTGGTTGACTTATTCCCATCATGTGCTATATTGAGCTGCGGAACATAGGACCCTGAGAACATATAACCCTGTGTAGAGCTTGGGAACTTCGGATTATGGGAACATAAGACCCCTTGTCGTATAAATCTGGAGAACATAGGACTCTGGGAAACACAGGACGTCAGGGACATATAATCCTAGGAGAGCAATAATGTAGAACTTAGGAACTTCGGACCCTGGGAACATAAGACCCTTTGCCATATAAATCTGGGGAAGGGTAGGACCTTGGGAAACACAGGGCGTTGGGAACATATAATTCTGGGAGAGCACTAATGTAGAATTTGGGAACTTTGGACCCTGGGGACATACGATTGTTTGTCATAAATTAGGAGAACGTAGGACCCTGGGAAACACAGGATCTAGGGGACGTATAATTCTGGGAGAGCACTAATGTAGAACCTAGGAACTTTGGGCCCTGGGAACATAAGACCCTTTGTCATTCCCCATTATGTTCCATTTAAATCTTGGGAACACAGGACCATGGGAACATAGGGATAGGCATAGTTAACTATGTAGGCTAATAGATTTAGCATGCCAGCTTCTGTTCTGGCATCAAAGAGGTGCAACAAAATTATGTAGGTTGCTGGAAGTGAGGTATTTTATAGCTGAACCTAAACCTGCTAACAGATTCTGTACCGTTATTTTAGCCATGCCAGTGGCTCTAGGGATGGCAACAGTGGTCAGTGCTTTGGTTCGGACTGAAATGTCTTGGCAACTGCTGAATGGATTTTAGTGCAATCCTTTATAGACATTCATGGTCAGTCCTATTGACTTTGGTGATCCCCAGACTTCTCCTCTAGCACCATGATGAGGTTGACATTTATGGTTCAGACTAAATTACAACTAGTTGATGTATTGCCATCAACACACTTCTCTTTCTTTCATAAATTGAGAGGTATGAAAGATATCATTATACATGTACAAGTCACATCCTACATTTCATTTTATTTCAGTGGAAGACAAGACATCTCAAGCACTCTCATTTATGTACAATCATTTCTTACTGATATCCATCACCGGATACACTGATAGATGAGTAAATAGCCAGTATCCGCTGATAACATTAGCCTTCCGATGATTAACAGTGTGTAGAGCTGTTGAGTCAATGTCCCATAGTTATGTCAATTCACATTACATTAAGAGGTAGCTGTATGACACAATTATCCTTTTAAATGCTGTAATTCTGGGTTGGTCATATCTATACTCAGTTAGGACTGATCAGACATCACATACAGGTTTGTGTTTGCTCTCCCTGTACGCTGGGTCATAAGTCCTTTGAAGGATGCGAGAGCCCCAGCACTGCTTTTTGTGTCCTCCTCCACAATTAGGTCATATGTGTACATCATTCCCATTAGAGAGTTTAACGCCTCTTGTCCTTTTGGCAGTGATGCTGTTTTCAGATGTAGGGCCACCCTTTGAGACAAGCCTGTTGCTGGGGTCAGAGGAGGCCTGTTCTGCTCTGTCAGGACGATGGTAATGTAAGGGAACAACCTCTCTACTGTGGATACAAACTCCTGACAGAAAGAGAAGGGGGTTAAAACACAGGATTTACACGACTTTATTGTAGCTTAAGTATTGGAACAGGAGCAAAATTACAAGCACCTCAAAAATGCACTTAAAAGAATACTTCCCTCACAAAATGGCCATTCATAAATCAGTTGGTAATGCCGTGTTACCTTGAATTCATGAAGAAAACTTTGTTTTTCTCATGTGCCTCCACGGAAAACAGCACACAAATTGATTTCCTGAATGATTAGGGACTGCATTTAACAATAGCAAAACTTTATCAAGACATCTGTTTACAAACTCACATAACTCCTGCAGTATAATCCATGTTTTTCTTTTCCAGTTGTATGCTCAGACCTCTCAGACACTTACCTTTTCATTTTGTTTTTGGCTCTGGAGAACTGCATATATTTTGTTCTATCTGCATTTAATACAAGTTTGAGATCAATGAGTGCATCTTCCAAAGCACTGACAGAAATCTGCAGGCTTCCAGTAGCCAATTTTATAGAGCCAGCCCAACATTATAAAATAGAGTTATCTGCATAAATGTGGACTAAACAGGTTTGTAAAGACAAGACTATATCATTTATATAAATGGTGAACAGGAAGCTACATACCTCAACATTGTCAGTGCCCTGTAAATCCTCCATGCTGATCCAGATAGGTCTGTAGAGCTTCTCTCTATTGTAGGCTGAGTGCAGCAGCTTGAGGGAAGCTTCAAGAAGCTGGTGCGTGTGGATCCGCAGGTAAACACCCCAGGGAACATCAGCTCTCTGCCCAAGCAGCTGCAGGAAGTCCTACAAACACATCCACAGATAAAGCCTTATTTATCCACATGTCATTTATTGTATGGCCTAATTGCAATGTCTTTTTTAAGAAAATGAGAAAAAGAAAAGTTTTTTTTTCCTGCCACTAACAACCTGTTTTTAATTTATGTACGTACCTGCAGTGTGAAGGCCTCTGAGCTCTTTCCAGAACCTTCCACCAGAGGGACTCCAAGTCGGCTGCTGTCAGAGGCCACCTGAACCACCAGCATACCACCATCACCTTCTGGACATCCAGACAGATGTTATAAACAGGATTAATGCCTTTTAACCATCACAGTGACGTTATGATTAAAAAAACAACAGTGTCCACAGGTTTACACTAACACTATCCAGGGGAAATGTGAGGGAGGGAACATCTGAACAATATAATAAGCAGGGCTCAGAAACCAGCCCAGATATCCAGGATCCGCCTCCTTCGTAGAGCAGCTGAACACCTATGCAAAGTGTAACAAGACTGACCCGGAGGAGTGGACCCTGACCAACACCAGCTTCACTACGATTGGACAAATAAATCGTCAGTTGGCTGAATACTTTAGCAGTTGTTTTTTGTCATTTGATTTCGCTAATTCAATGGTCTGCCTCTGAAGAATAAGCGTGTGAGAAAGAGACAGTGGGGATAAACGGTGTTTAGAGCCAGCGTATTTTACATCTAACTGTGAATAAAGGGTTCATTTCAACCAAACCAGAATTTGTGATTGCTGAAACAAGGGAAAGAGTAACCAAGGAGGTTTTGTTGAGTTTTATTTTGTTTTTGTTGAGCTTGAAGTGTGTTTTACAATAAACAAGGCAACCAAACTAGTCTTGGTTCAGTGAAAGTAAGAAACTCGAAATAAGACGGTGTAGACTTGTATTCTCCTGTTTAATAAGGAAAAGAGGTGTAAGAATATTTTCTTTCTTGGTATTTTGTGAGTTTATTCTGTATAAACGTATTAGACCAAAAAAAAGCTAAGAGAGCTTGTGGAATGTAGCAAACTCACCACTCAAACCTATCTTCTGGCTAAAACTACAGCAGTTGTTGGTGGCCAGTTTGAAGATTTTAACACATTGCCCAGCCCTAAGTTTTGCTCCTGCACCAATCAGTGTCGAGGAGCAGAAGGTAGTTTCCGTCCTCTCCAAGCTGTGGTGTGGGAGCACAGCTTTTCCAGCTGTTCTAAGACATCACGACTTTAAACACCACATTCACATAATTTACTGTGATTAGATTACAGCTTTTATGTCACCTATTTCATTTTTTCCAGTGCCTAATAAAATTTGAAAATGACAGTGTGTCGAATTTTGTTTTTCATGATTTCAAATGACAGTATTGTGATGGCAGAAGTTTTTCTGTGACATTTCAGCATAGCCAGACAGCCTACTACATCAAAAATGATGAAAGTGAATTGTCTGTATGTCTGAAGAAACCACATGTTTGTATCTACATACCTGAAAACTGAGCCAATAAGGAGGTCTTGTCAGTGACTCTCAGCCAATGGACTGCAAGGCTGTTGTGTTGTGTGGCTGTGGACAGAACGTCAGCATCTGAGTTGTGACCCGGATAGAGGAAGTCCATCAGGTTTCCTCCAGGATAAAATCTTCTCAGAAGTCCCTGTTGCCCTGTAAACAGAATTAATATATCAATAATTAAAGTGAAACAGCAAGTCATTTCTAACCTTTATCATCTAATGAAAATTATTTTTCACTTTTGACTTATGTATCACAGACATGGCAGCAAATGATAATGTTGTAACTGATATGTATATTGTGATTTTTTTTTTTCATGAACAATAAAATGCAGTAATATTCTCCACACTGTAATAATAATAAAAATAAATAAAATAATCACATGTCCAGTATTCAAGTTGTTCAAAGTCAACTGGTTATTTTTGGATCTAAAAATTCAAGTAACCCTAACCATCAGCTTTATCTCTTTATTGAAGTTAGGTAATATTTCTTAAAATCTTTTTTTTGCAACAGGTATTTAGCAATAAAAATGCTAAATTGTAAATGCCTTCCCACAAATCTAGCCAGGTTTAATGCTACATGTTTGCAACAAAGCACTGACTGACTGGCAGACTCCACCTCTGTTGTAAATTTGGTCACTGTTTCTTGATGAACAGCTCCTTCCTTACTTGCAGCCTCTTTGAATGCAGACAGTGTTGGTTCATATATATCATAGTAGACTCTGGTAGGGTAGGTGTTCTCACGAATGAACAGAAGATCAGTGATGTTTGGGTGAACTGAACCCTGCCACAATGTCATACTGAACCTGGAAACCAAATCACAACACCACAACAGTCACAGTGTCACAAAGTCCAGTATCATGTGGCTTATCAATGTAACTGATATTTCATGTCCCTCAGTCTATATTCTTTAGTTAAAGTTCAGCTGATGCTCTTTTCTTACTGTGCTCAGCAACTTACAAAGAAATTTCTCAACTTAGTCGCCGGAATAACCTGTACCTGTCTGCAAACCATGGAAACGTTACATTTGCACATAATCATGTAGCGGATACATTTAAACTTTACTTTTCAAGAATGCTGTAATTAACGTGGTTAGTTTTAAGTACAAAAAACACTTAAAAATCCTTGCAGGGAAAGCAGCAACGTCTTGTTAAAATACAACTGTTTTATGTACCACTATCACACAGCAATAACTCACTAAATCACATCTGGTTTTAAACAATAGTCTGCAGCTTGGCAGGTATCTTACCTAGGTGTCACGCCATCCACCAGCCCCTACACCTCCCATTGACAAAGTCAGCTTATATACTAAGCACGTAACAAATTCCTGATATACTACGTAACATGTTGACATGTATGGAGTTAGATTTGTCTCATTAATACCTGTAAATGCACAGAGGGTGATCTACAAATATTTCTTGATCTGCACACTTTTCATAATTATGTGTGTGAACAGATTGACAATCTGTGTGTAAATGTGTAATCTGTAAATATAAAACACATTCCACAAGTACAAAAAATATCTGTGAATACATTAAATTAATTTGCAAATAAATGAAAAGCATTTGTGAATATCTTCCTAACATTTACAACTTTCGAACAGTTTTTATTTGTGAATCGAAAAAACATTTGTGGATCTCAGTTCTACGCGTGTGGATTTGCTTTTTACACACACGGATTTTTGAGACAAACCTTCCGCCGGTCCAAACAAAAATGCACTCGTATCACTTGGCCATCTTCGGATAGCATGTGATCACCCAGCTGATGACGTAATTTCCGCATGTGAAAGTAGGAGCACGCAGTCCTTCTATGAGCTGTTTTTTGTTGTTGTTTTTTTAATAATAATCAGCGATAAGCAACGTGCATTCATTGTTTTATGTTAATGTCATACAGTGAGTATTAGTGTGTTTATTTGTTCTATGTATCTGGCACACACTTTTGTATACATTTCTGTTTGAGTATGAAAGGCATGGTGGCTTGGCTGCTTCTTCAGTTGGCAGTTATCAGCCAACTCATCCTTTATATTTTCATTATACGATTAAAGTCACAAAGCACTTCACATCTTATTATTAGTGTACTCTTACTAATGTAGTTGTAATGTCTGTGCTCACCGCACTGTGTTTAGTTAGGTTACATCGTTTCAGTGAGGTTACGTTAACTGTTGTAAGATATGACAAGTGGCAACATCCTGGTTAAGGTCTTTGATAGAACAGCTGTTGGTGTTGGTAGCTCTTTTTGTTTAGAAATGTAATATTGTAGTTGTATTGTTCATTGTTAATATTTAGATTGTGCTAAGCCAACATTAGCTACTGAAACAGCATCTGTTGCCATGGCAACAGTAAACATTTATGTTGCGGGCTGGGGGGATGAAAGCAGGGTGCAGCATTTTATACATTGTTAATAGACCAGAAGTCAGTACCATCCAACCTGTAAAAGATAACTTGTGTCATGTTTCACTTACCATTGCATTTATTGTAATCATGCACCCCATTTGTTGTTTTTAGCATAATTGGTATTTTCTATATGTATAATCAGTTGGCAGTTGTCTTTGTTTGACCAGCAGACTTGCTACCGCCATCTACTGGTCAAAGTGTTTTTGTGTCATCATGACTTAATGGCTCTATTTAAACTAGAAAACTCAGCAGTTAGAACACAGACTGCATGGGTTAGATCAGATGTAGGTACACTTATATTTTGCATTTTTATTCATTCTTATGAATACAAATATATTTTATGAATAGCTGTATTTATTTTCTATTACTGTTTAACGATAGAATGATCTTTTAAATGCTGTACTGATTTTTGTACTGATTACACTAGCATTGAAAGGTTGTGGAGAGATGTCTGGATGTCAGTCACCAGCATCTTCTACCGTGGCCCTCTTTACAGGTTGGATGGTACCAATCTGGAAATCCATCTGTAAAAAAAAAAAAAAAAAATTTCTTCCTTTCCTCTACAATGTAGATTGCAAAATCTGTCTTGAGAGATTAGGATGGTACTGACTTCTGGTCTATTTACAATGTATAAAATGCTGCACCCTGCTTTCATCCCCCCAGCCCGCAACATAAATGTTTACTGTTGCCATGGCAGCAGACAGATGCTGTTTCAGTAGCTAACATTAGCTTAGCGCAATCTACATATTAACAATGAACAATACAACTACAATATTACATTTCTAAACAAAAAGAGCTACCAACACCAACAGCTGTTCTATCAAAGACCTTAACCAGGGTGTTGCCACTTGTCATATCTTACAACAGTTAACGTAACCTCACTGAAACGATGTAACCTAACTAAACACAGTGCGGTGAGCACAGACATTACAACTACATTAGTAAGAGTACACTAATAATAAGATGTGAAGTGCTTTGTGACTTTAATCCTACTCGAAAGAATAAATGAAAAATATAAAGGATGAGTTGGCTGATAACTGCCAACTGAAGAAGCAGCCAAGCCACCGTGTCAGATACATAGAACAAATAAACACACACTAATACTCACTGTATGACATAAACATAAAACAATGAATGCACGTTACTTATCGCTGATTATTATTAAAAAAACAACAACAAAAAACAGCTCATAGAAAGACTGCGTGCTCTTACTTTCACACGCGGAAATGATGTCATCAGTTGGTTGATCACATGCTATCCGAAGATGGCCAAGTGATACGAGTGCATTTTCGTTTGGACCAGCGGAAAGTTTGTCTCAAAAATCTGTGTGTGTAAAAAGCAAATCCACACGCGTAGAACTGAGATCCACAAATGTTTTTTCGATTCACAAATAAAAACTGAGTTCACAAATGCCTATTTCAAAAGTTGTAAATGTTAGGAAGATATTCACAAATGCTTTTCATTTATTTGCAAATTAATTTAATGTATTCACAGATATTTTTTGTGTTTGTGGAATGTGTTTTATATTTACAGATTACACATTTACACACAGATTGTCGATCTATTCACACACATAATTATGAAACGTGTGCAGATCAAGAAATATTTGTAGATCACCCTCTGTGCATTTACAGGTATTAATGAGACAAATCTAACTCCATAGACATGACATGTATAAATTTTGCAAGTGTAACGTATCTGTGGTTTGCAGAAGTGTACAATGCTAATATTTTCTCCTGGCAACTGGGCTAAATTTTCTGCAAGCCAGATCAATTTCTCTCTGGAACAAACTTTAAATGTGAAAATTTTCATGAACTGATATGTTATTATCAAACAGAGACTGAGGAAATACAACCACTGAATTATTCTGTGTTTGAAAATGCTGTGGATTATCACTTGAGTGCCTGTTTAGACAGACTGAAGACTGGGTTACCCTTAATAATAAATGACCGACTTTACTGATTGCCATAATACAGTAGGACGTTGTCTGTGTTACCGTGGTGACTGGCTCAGGATCCAGCTGATGTGCTGCCAGCCGCTGCGAACCAACAGGGCATGGACTGGGAATGTCACCTAGAGACACAAACTAAATCTTTTATTGCAGATTTTATAACTCCTCACTTAGTATCAGCAACCACACAGGTTATTGTTACATACCAGAATATCACTGTGAAATTCAATGGGAGACCTTGATATAACATGAGCAAATGAGACCATAGTGATGATGTTACTTGTCTTCCCTCCCTAGCAACTAACACATTTTGACAAAGCTTTCCCATATGTTTTTGCATCTTTGTAGGGACATTAACAACAATACTATATGTCACACAAAGAAAAGTGAGGAGGTAAGCAACACAGTTCTTCTTCGAGTGTTACGAACAATGACCTCTGCCTGTTTAGCACTACTTGCTGACACTAAAAAGAATTTTGTCTTTGAACATTTATTGCTATTACTATCTCTCACTGGAAACAGCAGCCCTTGTGTGTTTCCTCCTAAAGGATCTTGTGTATCACGCGATAAAATGCAGCATGGTTATAATGCCAGTATATCAAACTTATCAAACAGAAGAGCTGCATTGATTATTTTAAAGGCCTGGTCACACCAGCATTTAAATGAACGAAATCTTGGTGCAATATCAGTTTTCAGTGAATGGAACTGTTGCAATCACTGAACCCACTAGCAGAAGCTGAGTAAATGTACATCAAGATTTCAAGGAGAGTTCAAATTTGGTAAACTTTGATGTGCAAACTAGTACCTCTGAACAAGCCTTTTTGGCAGTGCTGTCCATTGAGGAAAAAAAGGAACAAGTGGTCATATTAGCTTCAGCTAATTTATTACCCTGCTCTGCCGGACTATAAACATCTCCACAGTAAAGATACAAAAAGGATCAGTTAGCTGAGAGATAGGAGATACCTGAATGAACCGTGGTAGCATAGGTAGCAACTGAACTTGCTAGTTAGCGGCCTAGTGGCATGCCTAGTCATCATTACTCTTCCTGCTCTTTTGTGTGGACATGTTAAGTGAATTTTAAAATGACACGTTCACATCTGACCAGAGTTGAAGACTAATTCAGACTAATTCCCACGCTGCTTGATACTAAATAATACTGGATCCCCCGATGTATTTTGTGTGTGTGTTTTAAAGCTTACCTTTTGAGGGACATCTTTGATCATATTGTACATCTCCTCCACCATGGACCTGGTGTAGGTCTCAACATTATGCGGAGGAAAATAGCCCACCTGTCACAAACAATGCAATGTCAGGTGTGAAACACAATCATTCTGACTAAAATCGAACTAAAGGTCTACAGCTGAACTGGTAGTCCTGTGAGGCTGTAACAATTGTTGAATTCTTCCCATAGACTGGGTGCACTCCATTTGCAGTTCCCAGTTGAAAATTTTATGTGGAACGCCCCCTGAAGTCAGATTTCTGACTCGCAAAGCTGGAGGAACCTCACTAACCCCAAATGCAAAATCCCACATGGCTGCCCCGCCCATCAACAGAAGTAAAAACTTTAGCAATATAGTGTTTATTGGCACTTCTTTTTGTCTCATTAAAACAGTTGTACACTCAGTACTGTCCAACTTCTATCTGTGGACATGTTACTATGGTGTTTCTATGTGTGAAATATGGTGAAATGCGTATATCATCTAGTATTAGTAACAATGGCTAACTTGGACAGACGAAATGACAGCACTCCAAAAGTGAAACCGGACATCTTGATCGCCCCCTGGAGGCTGGCTATAGTGTAGGTCATAAACCCCATCCCCTCCATGTTAACGAATGGGACATGGACCACACTAAAAGATCACACTTCAAATTATTTTTTTCATATTTTCTATCATTTTAGGTAGTGTATGCTGATGTGTGTTCAACACAGAATCCCTTCTGTGGTGCTGAACTGTTGCTCTGGTTTTACTGTAGTGCTACCGATGTCTCTTTTCAGCCACATAAACAGATACATAAATAGACTTATACATGACACCATGAATCAGAAGTTAAAACTGAAGTAAAACTTGCATTTCTTTACTTAATTATATTATTGTTAGTATCTAACTGTTTTTGGAGGGGGGAAAATACAAAATAATCAGACTGATATGATTTGCACTTGGCCGATGTCAGACATTAAGCTTGCTGATAAAAACCAGCAACAAAATAAGAAGCAAAAATTAAATTTGTTCTGTATATACTGTTGTATATATGTATGTTGTTTTGAATCTGTTTACAACCCTTGGGGGCGGGGGAATAAGCCGTAGAGGAGACCACGCCTAGTTAGGAGACCGGTAGTGTATACCATTTCATGCCATTGGCCCAGCTTATAATGCGTTTTTGAGTATCTTTTCTAAAATGACCAATCTGGTAAACATTCTGAGCATGTTAGAGTAGTGAGGAGGATTTAAGGACCCAGGACATTGGGTAGACCAGGGGAGAATAGATGGGGGAGTAGGGTATGTCAGTGGGAGGTGCTTAGGTTAAAAAAAGGTCAAGCCAAAGTGTGTAGTCCTCTTTGTCTCACATCTCTTGTTTGAGGCACACACTGAGATCCATGGAAAGCTGAAGTACTTTAGTGGCTGGCAAGTCCAAGATGCTCCTGGGGGAAACAAACCCCTATGGCTGCCTTGGTTATGTGAACTTTCTGTCAAGCGCCGATTATTATCAATTACATTTATTGTTTGTTAATGCTGCCATAATAAAATAATTAAGATAATTAACTCTGGTCTAAAGTCTTTCTGTAGGGTTTCCTGGTGGCAGCCAGTGGGTGCATCAGGGACAGCTGCATGTGGTGTAACACTAGGATTTGTAGTAAGGTGGTGTGTGGTGGTAGTTTGGTGTGGCTACCTTTAGATTGGGTGAGTGCTGTATTGTGGTTAGGGATGTACGATAACTTTTCTTTTAAACCGATACCGATAACCGATAACTTTCAGCTCCGAAAGGCCGATACCGATAACTGTTAACCGATAACACACACACACACATATACAGTATATATTTATATATATATATATACTTAAGATCATGACATCAATACTATGAACAAAACCAAAACAGTTTTGACCCTTTAAATGAAGAGATATTTATTTTTTCCAATGAAAAACTATTGGCAAGCATCTCAAACATTTTTGAAAAGATATTAAACAAAAAAACTATTTGATATCTCAAATGAACATCAATTTAAATAAGGTGCATTACTTACTGATATAAAAATAAAGGCCCCTTGAACTGATGCAAATACATGCATTGGGATTACAAACTGAAAAAGTTCATTCCAGAAGTTCAAAAAAATAAATATATATAGAAAATGACTGCACTGAACAAGTTAGACTTGTCTATGTAAACAAACTGAAAAAGTGCATTCCATAGTAACAAAAAAATATGTTTAAAGAATTTTGGCTTATGGTTCCATTGAAATGAATATCTTTTCACTAAGGTAAATGAAGTTCAGTTGTTCTTTTATCTCATATTAGAAGAGAGAGAGTGAGAGAGAGAGAGAGAGACCAAAATTGGGACCCACTGTACCAGTGACAGTATCATGGTTCTGAGTAGTATCACGATACCACAGCAAAAATGAGGCAGATGTGCCTTTTGTCATTTATGAAAAGATAAATCACTTTTCTATAATACATCAATGATATTTCAATGGAATAAATTACTTATTGACTTATTCATACTTCAAAAACAGCATGAATAAGTGATTAACATAGGGGGGATCAAAATGAAATAAATTAATAAAATAAAAATCAACCAGCCACCCTGCTCCCCTGATGGTCCCTTCATAAGTAAAGAACAGTCCCTAAAGTGCGCTGAGGTTTGTGGGCCGTTACCTGCCACAAAGAGAAATGTGAACGACTCGTTTCTCCTCTGACACGTCACATACCTGTGTGCCGCCACGGCTTGGCTGTTCAGGTACTTCTGGGCAGTCATGATGCCAACAAGAGGACATTATTGGACCCGGAGCCGGACTTATCCGTCGCCGGTAAGCCATTATGTTGCGCTGCGGAGCACTATGGCCGCTGTATTTGACAGGAATACATATTCCTGTCTGTGTCTGTGACCCCCGTTCAACCCACAACTGGCAGGATTCGCCTTTATTGGACAGCGCACGCTGTTATTGGACGGCGCATGGACACTCACCCTCTTGAGACTGGACTTTGAACTTATCCCACAGTGGTGGTACCGTGAGGTACTGTAGTACTACAGTACTCCAACATTATGGTATCATATGTACTGTGGCGTTTTAGTGCCGCGGTCTACCGTTGGTACCAGTATACCGTGCAACACTAGTGTGAGAGAGTGTGTAGAGAGTGTGCGTGTGTGTGTGTGTGTGTGAGTGTGAGTGTGTGTGAGAGAGAGAGAGAGAGAGAGAGAGAGAGAGAGAGAGAGAGAGAGAGAGAAATTATTAATTGTGAAATTATGAACGAGTTAACGAGTTGTTTTCTGACATGAGGGGGTATTCTTGAATTTTCCCAGTCAGAAAGAGTTTTTCTGATTATGCCGATGTCACTTGAATGCAGCATTCACTGCAGGCCATTCAGGTCTCATAGTGAGAGCGGGGCACTGCCGTGCTGACAAAATTATATTTGTTATCGGGGCTATTCGTCATGATATTGGACTTATCGGAATGACGTAATAATTTCCTGTTATCGGCCAATAGTTATCGTGCATCCCTAATTGTGGTTGTAGTGAATATCCTGTTAATATCTGTCTTAGGTGCCACATTGTGCTGCCCCTGTTGACTGTCTTCTCTCCCTTCAGCCTCTCTTTTAGTAGGACCAGGAAATAAATTATTTCTTATTGATTTTAAGGCAGAAATAAAACTGCTTAACAGTGTTTGAATTAGTTATTTTGTCTGGTGTGTTTATTCAGAATTAGATGTAGCTGTGTTCATTGTTACCAGTCTCAGGCTACATTAGCATACTGATGTTAGGCACATCAGTGTTCAGAGCTGAATGCAGCACAGCCTCACGCTTCTTACAGAGTAGCTACATGTAGGACACATGACCTCAGTATTTCTAAAATCTTAGCTTCATACCTGTCTTTGACTTATGCTCTGGACCAAAAGTGCTGGATCCATAGATGGACCCATCGACTGACCAACTGACTGACATCACCAGCTTGTTCAAAAAACCTATACAGAAGGTTAATCTACAAGTGCTATACTGTGATTCCTAATCAGGCTGTAAATATGCACTACCCTCCATCCAGGAGACAAAGTCACATCTGGAAACTTCTCCTGAATCAACTGCAGAAATCTGGAAAAAGAGGAAGGAAGGAAAGGAGAGAAATATGCTGTTGTTATGATGGGATAGTGAGTAAATGTGTTTCTAATTTGTCAGTGTGGCAATAATAGATATAATACATACAACACTAGCTTTGAATAACAAAGACCTGATGGACAAAATACATGAAAATCAAGCTTTTTCACCTGGTTCCATTGATTGGAGGCACAAAGTCTGGTACGTTGGGACCTTGGAGGATGTCTGCATTAAGCCAAACAGGCCTGTTTATTCCTCTACTACTGTTTTTTTTAATAAGCAGGTCCAGTGACAAACCTACTGATCTCAGAGACTTAAAATCCAACTTCATGCCTGTAGAGAGACACAGAGCATTAAAACCTGTTACTTCTTAAGATCATTGAATCGACACAGACAAACAGACATATAGATAAAGACACAGAAAGGCATATCAGTTCTACTCTACCATACCTTTTCGAGATTCCAGCACAGCATCCAACCATTGGTCCAGAGTGTTGTCACTATAGATGGCAGGAGGGTGGGCCATGATAGGGATTGGCTTCTCACTGGGTGTTCCATAACCCTCAAGAGTGACATCAGCCTCTAGGATCATAGCGTCACCTGAGGAAACAAAGAAGGGAGTACATTTTTGTCAAATCACTGGAGGATAATGTAGCAATTGTATAGTATGTAAATCTGAGGAACAAACAACACCATTAAAGAAGTCTGTGTGAGAGAGTTTACTTGTTAGGGCTTTGTTCATTTCCTCCTTTCTATTGGCTCGGTGAAACCAGGTAGCCAACAGACCATCAGGTTTGCTGATATCACCCGACTGAACCAGGAAGTCCAGCATGTCTCCACCAGTTGAAAATGAGGGATGAGCTGGGGAACCTCATTGGATAGCAAGATACAGGCCAAAATGTGAGTGTGGGACTGTGAAAATATGGGTCTTTACATAAGTCATACAAAATCTTTTTTCTTTTTAATGCCGGCAATAGCTGTGGGTGGAGGCATTATGTTTTTAGGTTGTCAATCCTTCTGTCCATCCCATCCTTGTGAATACAATATCTCAAGAACACCTCAAGGGAATTTCTTCAAATTTGGCACAAATATCCACTGGGACTCAGTGATGAACTGCTTAGTTTTAGGTGGTCAAAGGTCAAGGTCACTGTGACCTTGTCTGTTTCATTCTCATGAACACAATATCTTAAGAATGCCTTGAGGGAATTTCTTCAAATTTGGCACAAATGCTCACTTGGAATCTACAATGAACTGATTCAATTTTGGTGGTCATAGGTCAAAGGTCAAGGTCAAAGTGACCTCATCTGTCTCATTATTGTAAACGTGATATCTCAAGAACACCTTGAGTGGATTTCTTCAACTTCAATTCAGTGTCATCACTCAGGAACAGAAGGGGAAATATTTGGTCAGATACTGAATTGGTGATATATCATGATAATGTTATCATGAACTTACTTGGCCACAATATTTGTGTAGTGAAAATATGGCAAGTATTTCAAGTCACTTCCACCCCTTCCCATTTTTTTCCTGTATTAAGGTAACTGCTTAATTATATGCTCTGTTTCTATAGAGCAGTTCTTTCAAGGGAATTACTTTTGTAAATGAATGTCTCAACTAACTAAAGGACTATACAAAAATGTGCCAGTGACAGCTGTTGGTTCAAAAATAAAGAGTGGCTGTAATATGTAGAAAATGGGATTATCTTTTTCTAATGTTTGCCATAATTTTGGCAATTTCTAATCCTACTTCTATTGTGCAGATGGTAGTCTCACCACCAGACAATCAGAGATCTCCGCCTTCTGATAGTCTGGGGACACTCCTTTCTAAATTGTGTTTAACACACCGGAGAAAACGGCCGGCAACAAAGCAACGCCTCTTGCATTTTTGAAAAGGATATGCCCTCCCAGAAATGTGCGCTCCCCCTTTTCTCGTCCTCAAGGAAACAAACACATAGAGAGCTTGAAAATGGATGCCGAGAGATTTAACTCTGTTTTATCAAACGTGTACTCAGTCCAAAAGATTGTGGAAATGAAGGACTTACAGCAACTTTGTTTAAAACTTTTAACGCAGTCGGACTATGTTTACGAGCACAAGAGTTCAGCGAGCCACCGAAGGTCCGCCCTGCGGATTTACTACATTTTGTACTATCTTGTGTGCATTCACACACACCCACTGGGAGCAATTAGGCATTCAGTATCTTCGCCAGGAACACTTTAACATATAGACTGCAGGGGCCAGGGATCGATGACCGCTCTAACTCCTGAGCCACAGTTTCACTTTTAATTTTGTTTTAGCTAAGTCAGCAGGTAATCTGATTGATGGATATCCATGCATAATGTTATTAAATTTAACAGCATATGTTATCACAAGAAATTTGACTGCCCTAATCCAAAAATTTTGGATTATGGTATCATTAAGTTATTATGTGATATTATGTACACATATGAGAGCAGCACACCAAGTCTGCCTCCACAGAATATGAACGGAATGATACAGTTGAAACTCACACAGAGAGCTTATACCACTCACTCTAAACCCCAAAAACAGGACACAAACTTTTCATATCTCTGCCAGTATGGGGATGGCTACATACTTGATGGTAGACGTGCTGACGTATTGCGGTAAGCGAGTTGTGTCATTTCCGGTGTTTCTGTGACAGTGTCTCTGTACTGCTCTGGTGAATTCTACTAGCCTGCTTTCTCACTTCAGTTGCTTTAACGTTGCTTTAACGTCTACTTCAAGTCTTAACCCACACTGGTTCTGTTTAAGCACTTAACGTTATTGCTCTCCTCCTTTCTACGACTTTCTCGCTAATCTCTTAGCTGTTGTTTGCATGTTACTAGCCTTGGTAGCTACATTAGCTTTACAGTTAGTGTAAATGCTGTTGATACAGATTTTGTGTACAGCTGCTATTCCTGGTTTGACCAACAGAGATCGCACCTTTATTTTGATATTCCATTAGATTTGGTCATTGCCACTTCCTGTCCCACCCTCACTTTCCCACACTGTAGTTTTGTCACATCAGAAGATGATGGATAGCCGGCATGTTTGTCACGTTATTGTTGGGCAAAAGATAAAGATTTAAGATAAAGACTAAACACCCCTCCCATTTCAGAGCTGCAAGCGGGCAAAGTGGTCAGTACAATTTTATTGTGTAACTTTTATTTCAACTTTTGTGTCATTTCATGGACTGTGTATATCGAAATTCATTGTTATATTTTGTGTCTGTTTGTAGTTCTACGGTGGTGATTGATGGTGCAACGTGAAGCGAGCTAGGCTAGCTATTTGAAGGCATCAATAAAAGATAAACCCATCTGTATAAAGAACCGGAGTCCTCACATGTTTCAAATGGGAGCATAGTTAGCGTGGCTTCTCCCTCTGCTCTCTCTTGCTCGGTGTGCCAAATGTTAAGTTATGCCTCTGCCTCCTTTAGCGACAGTGGTAAATGTAATAAGTGTAGCTTATTTGCTGCGTTGGAGGCGAGGCTTAGTGAAGTAGAAGCGCGGCTCCGCACCATGGAAAATAGATAGTGCTGTCGCAAAATTTAAGGAAAAGATTACTCCGTCATTAAATTCAATACCAAGTCCCTCAGTAACAGAGGTTTCCTGTACCGACTTTGATCATTTTGTCGATAGCGCCGTAGGCTCGCTGCGAACAACACTTGACTCTGTAGCTCCTCTTAAAAAGAAGTTAAAAAAGCAAAGAAAGTTCGCTCCTTGGTATAACTCTCAAACCCGTAAGTTAAAACAAATATCGCGAAAATTTGAAAGGAATTGGCGATTGACCAAACTGGAAGAATCTCGTTTAATCTGGACAGACAGTCTCAAAACTTATAAGAGGGGCCTCCGCAATGCCAGAGCAAACTATTACTCAGCATTAATAGAAGAAAACAAGAACAACCCCAGGTTTCTTTTCAGCACTGTAGCCAGGCTGACTGAGAGTCAAAGCTCTATTGAGCCTTGTATTCCTTTAGCCCTTAGCAGTAATGATTTTATGAGCTTTTTTAATGACAAAATTCTAACTATTAGAGGCAAAATTCATGACCTCCTGTCCTCAGATAGTACCTATCTAACCTCAAACACAGCTGTAAGACCTAATATATATTTAGATTGCTTCTCCCCAATTTCTCTTCAAGAATTGACCGCAGTGATTTCTTCATCTAAATCATCAACGTGTCTCTTAGACCCCATCCCAACTAGGCTACTTAAGGAGGTCTTTCCTTTAGTTAACACTCATATATTAGATATGATCAATATATCCTTATTAACAGGCTATGTACCACAGTCTTTTAAGGTAGCTGTAATTAAACCTCTACTAAAAAAGCCCACCCTGGATCCAGAGGTGTTAGCCAACTATAGACCAATATCTAATCTTCCCTTTATGTCAAAGATCCTTGAGAAAGTAGTCGCAGACCAGCTGTGTGATTTTCTCCATGATAATAATTTATTTGAGGAATTTCAGTCAGGATTTAGAGTGCATCATAGCACTGAGACAGCACTAGTTAAAATTACAAATGACCTTCTGATTGCTTCAGACAAAGGACTTGTCTCTGTACTTGTTTTATTAGATCTTAGTGCGGCGTTTGACACAATTGACCATCAAATTCTACTGCAGAGACTGGATCACTTAATTGGCCTAAAAGGTTCTGCACTAAGCTGGTTTAAATCTTATTTATCTGATCGTTTTCAGTTTGTTGACGTTCATAATGAATCATCCTTACGTACCAAAGTTTGTTTTGGAGTTCCGCAAGGTTCTGTGCTCGGACCAATCCTATTTACTCTATATATGCTTCCTTTAGGTAACATCATTAGAAATCACTCTATAAATTTCCATTGTTATGCGGATGTGACTCAGTTGTATTTATCGATGAAGCCAGAAGAAAGTAATCAATTAACTAAACTCCATAACTGCCTTAAAGACATAAAAACTTGGATGAGCACCAATTTCCTGATGTTAAATTCAGACATAACTGAAGTTATTGTTCTTGGCCCCAAACAACTCAGAGACTCTTTATCTGATGACATAGTTTCTCTTGATGGCATTGCTCTGGCCTCTCGCACTACCGTAAGAAACCTCGGAGTAATATTTGATCAAGATTTGTTTTTTAATTCTCATTTAAAACAAACCTCACGGACTGCATTTATTCATCATGCGGATTACTGTTAATTTATTATGCTGATCTGTTCTGTACGACATCTATTGCACATCTGTCCGTCCTGGAAGAGGGATCCCTCCTCAGTTGCTCTTCCTGAGGTTTCTACCGTTTTTTTTTTCCCCGTTAAAGGGTTTTTTTGGGGAGTTTTTCCTTATCCGCTGCGAGGGTCATAAGGACAGAGGGATGTCGTATGCTGTATAAAGCCCTGTGAGGCAAATTGTGATTTGTGATATTGGGCTTTATAAATAAAATTGATTGATTGATTGATTGATATCCTTGATTGTAGCCTGGGTCAACACTACATTTCTGACATGGTAATTCAGTCTCATTATGAAGCTACTTTTAATCTAGCCCCTGTTGCATTTCCCAACAGTTGCATCCTTCTTGACATACGTCACTGACTCGTCAAAAATATTTCACATAAATCTGTGCTTGTCCTGTTGTATGCTTGCTCGTGTCCAGACCTGTAAAGTTACCTAGCAAAACCTCTGTTAAAATAAATGGTTAGCTGTTTTGGCAATCAGAATAATTGATGCTAATTGGAATCGAGCCTCTTACATTTTTTTTCCTTTTAAAGATACTTAATGATGCAAGTTCTAAGTCTAATTGGTACGGAAGAAAATAAAGGTCACAAGTGATAGTGATTATGGTTACACAATATTTTGGTATCAAGGAAGAAGACATATTCCAACACTACACATAACTAAACTACATTTAAATGAGAAATGATTAGTATTATCTTCAGTGGTGTAATGTTATGTGACATAATCGAGATGATTTTGGAGTCTCTTTCAACAAACAAACAGTGGTGCCCCTTAAGCGGAACCGGGGGAGGCTATGGCCCACCAATACAATAAATGGTCCCCCCAGGCAAAAATAATTGGAGGCTGACCTTACTGTCTTTAAGAGGCTGTGGTGCACTAATTTTATAAGCTAGCATGAAGGAAGGGTTACAACCTAAGTCATCCATTGGTTTAGCATGGCTTGCTCTGAAGGGGGCTAAATAATGCTCTAAATGTAGGCAATATTTTGGTGAGGAAACAACTGGCATGGCCATTTTCAAGGGGTCCCTTGAGTTCTCACCTCGAGATATTTGAATGAAAATGGGTTCAGTGGGTACCCATGAATTTCCCCTAAACTTGAGAAGGCTTGTTTCCTGTAAATGTTTTGCTCCTTACAATCAATGTACTCCTTCAAATAAAGCTGTATATTTGTCTCAAAGGAAAAGGACAACCACCTTACTGGTGGGAATACTGTGGGACTCAAAATGTTAACCTTACGGTATTAGTCTATGCACATCAGATAATTAGTAACAGTGACTGTAAACTAAGAAACCAAGTATCAGTGTGTGACCCTAACCCTTTCCTTATTGATATAGTTTTCAACTAGCCTATATAGCTAAACTGTATCATCAAATTCATGAAATTCAGTCATGGCCAGTATTGGGCAAGTTACTCTCAAAATGTAATATATTACATATTACTATTTACCTTCATTTAAAAGTAATTAGGTACTTTACAATATTACTTTCTGTGTAGAGTAATAAGTTACTTATTACACTCCTTTTGGATTACTTTGATCAAAATGACCTAAGAAGAACTAAAGTTTATTTTAAATGGATGATGGTCATGTTGTTTCACAGCAGGTAATCAAAGCGCAGAAGCTCCAGTTTATTACAATTCATTTCAAATCCAGTGCTTCACAGGTCTGACCTATTCATACATTCACGTACAGTGGTTACCACTTTGTGTTAATATCCTCTGCTTTTATTAATAGTAGCATGATGATATAGAATGATTAACTAGCTTAGACCTTTTAAATTAAATGAATAGCCTTGGACACAGGAAGGGTCAGGCAGAGGATCAAAGTCTGATAATTATGTATTTGTGAGCCTATGAAACACAATAAACAAATGCTGAGGTTGGCACAACAAACAAATGGCGTGTGAGTCAGTCAATATGACGTGTGCAAATTAATACTACAGAGCTGGAAGACCCATCTGCCAGTTTCTAGTGTGTCGGTCAGCTACAACAGCATCGGAGAGAGAGTTATGCATAAGAATGGGGACTGTGTGCCAGCATTGCGCTGCAATTATAGGGGATGTGAATGTAAACATCCAACATATACTAACATTACCCATATATGTCGACCACTGGGATACACATGATCACCGGTACCCCTCTATAAGGTAGCATAATGAATGACATGACAATATACAACAACCTTTGGGAGATATTTTTTTCCAGTGGTGCACTGGCAGAAGTGGAGCGGTGTGGATCAGTGTGGCTAAATGAAAAATGAAAACGATAAATAGTTAATTTCGTTTGGTAACGTGTTACCATGTACCATGTGTTGTAAATGTAATAATATTACCTTGTTACTGCTAAAAAGTAAGATACTACTGTAATGCATGACCCCAAACACTGGTCATGGCTTTTGGTTTTGGTGTGATGGTCAAAATCAACAAAGCATAAGTAAAATCAACTAAGCACACAATTACTCATATATGGCAAATATCTTTAATGTACCTGACTTTTTGGTGAGCACAGCAGCGAGAGTAATGATAATCACAAGGAGAACAAGTCCAACAGCCACAGATATTATTATCAGCTGTTTTTTGGTTAAACAGCCAAGATAAAGGTCCAAACCTTGACGGCTAGACTGCAACTGTATCCTGGAGGAACAAAGCAAAACGCAATGGAGAAAAAAAAAGTTTTTACTCAGTGTTTTATGCACAGCTTGATAGACAGGAAAACAACTGTATATCTGTCACTGACCTGTCTTGCCTTTCTTCCATGCCCTTGTCACTTTTGTCCTCTCTTTCTCCCATCCTCTCGCCTGTTCTTACTGTCCTTATGATTCAAAAATGAAACTCTTTGTAAAGAGCTGCAGAACAACACAGTGACAGATGGGGAGTGATTTTTCATTTATATGAGCCTTATCTACAGGGCAGAGATCAATGTTTCACTGATAAGGTGCACAGGCTCTCTACAGACTCTGTTCTACTCTCAGTCCTGACAGTTCAGAGAATTCTGCTCTAAGGTAAAAAATGAAGCAGGTATGAACCACAGGTGAGCAGGACAGAGGCCTTTTGCCTTCAATGTCCCCTCAATAAAAATCACTTATCTAATGTGAACAAAACCAATCATAATATGAGGCAGTTTTCCCTTCCCCAGCTTCACAAACATTTATAAGATAAATCTGAAGGGTTGTAAGATGATTAACAGGCTAATAAAGAAGTAGTACATACAAGCTGGGGTCGATGACTGCGCTTCGGACACTGGCCTCATTTGTGACATTTGTCACCTCCTTTCAATTTCCTCTACCGTTTTAGTAGTAAGAAACAAAAAATGAAGCATTCCAACACTGATTTAGATGTTAATTCTCATGGCAACAATTGATGCTTCAAAGCACTGGGGTTAGTCTTAATGAATAGATTCTCATACACAACACAAATTAAACCAGTAACACTTTACGAAAACATACATAAAAACAAGTAATTACTAAGGGACTAAAGAGGAACAAATGAGTAACTAACAATTATTAGGGACCTCGGCCGAAGGACGAAGTCCCTCTTGTTTCTGGTGCGTTTATTAGGGACTTTGGCTGAAGGGCGATGACCCTCTTGTTTTTGGTGTGTTTATTAGGGACCTCGGCCGAAAGATATTATTATATTATTATCAGCTGTGGCTGTGGCTTGTAGGAATGACGTAGAAAGGTCAAACCAAAACTGGTTTGTTCATGTCATCGAGCCCTACAAATCACACGCTGATACCCCTGACCTAACTCCAACAGGAAGTGAGGTATTTGCCCTTTCTGTACTGGAAGAGAGAAATAGTGTCGGATTGCAATCAACTGAACTGTGAGTGGAGGATGGGTGAAAGTTCGGAGGGATGGGATGAGGAAGGTATGGATTGGTGTATCGCATCAAACAGAAGAAGGAAAAGGCAGGATAAGAAAGATAGAAGTGAAGCTTGGTCAGATCGAAGCAGTCAAGAAGAAGAGGGTGCTTCAAAAAAAGTAAGAACTTATTGGGAAGATTCAGCGCAACGTGAGACTGAGAAAGACTGGAAAGTAGTCATCAGTGTTGGGCAAGCTACTTGGAAAGTGTAGTGAGCTAAGCTACTAGTTATTTTAATATTAAATTAAGCTTCACTTCATTAAAGCTATCACTCTCAGAAATGTATCAAGCTAAGCTATAGCAAAATGAAAGTAACTAGTGCAACTACATCCAAGCTTTTTACTAAACTGAACCAACTTCGTGCCAAGTCAGTGTTACCTTACTGATCAATAAAACTGTCAGTCGAACAGATAGGCAGGTAAAAAAGTTAAGTTCAATTGTTTATTGAACAGTGAGCTGCACTAACTCCCAACACGACTCAAACCACAACAGCAAGAATGAAGACCTGCTTCAAACAGTCACAACATGGTCAAAAACGTATGTGTGTATGTATGTGTATGTACACTGCAAAAACTCATAAATCTTACCAAGAATATTTATTTCTAGTCAAAACAAATCTCATTACAATTGAAATAAGACTCATCGCCTAAAAAGTAACTTGTTTTTAGACAATTTTCACTTGTTTCAGGAAAATTTTCACTTGAAATAAATAGAAAAAAAATCTGTCCATGGAGCAAGTTTTTTTTTTCTTATTGCAAGCAAAAAAAAACTTGCTCCATGGACAGATTTTCATACTTACTTAAATTTGCTTGAAACAAGTATTTTTTAAGTGTAAAGAGATTTGTTTTGACTAGAAATGAGGCTAGTAAACACATTTTAATAAACACATTTTATAGTGAGCAGCATACACATGTACAGTACAGGCCAAAAGTTTGGACACACCTTCTCATTCAATGCGTTTTCTTTATTTTCATGACTATTTACATTGTAGATTCTCACTGAAGGCATCAAAACTATGAATGAACACATGTGGAGTTATGTACTTAACAAAAAAAGGTGAAATAACTGAAAACATGTTTTATATTCTAGTTTCTTCAAAATAGCCACCCTTTGCTCTGATTACTGCTTTGCACACTCTTGGCATTCTCTCCATGAGCTTCAAGAGGTAGTCACCTGAAATGGTTTCCACTTCACAGGTGTGCCTTATCAGGGTTAATTAGTGGAATTTCTTGCTTTATCAATGGGGTTGGGACCATCAGTTGGGTTGTGCAGAAGTCAGGTTAATACACAGCCGACAGCCCTATTGGACAACTGTTAAAATTCATATTATGGCAAGAACCAATCAGCTAACTAAAGAAAAACGAGTGGCCATCATTACTTTAAGAAATGAAGGTCAGTCAGTCCGGAAAATTGCAAAAACTTTAAATGTGTCCCCAAGTGGAGTCGCAAAAACCATCAAGCGCTACAGTGAAACTGGCACACATGAGGACCGACCCAGGAAAGGAAGACCAAAAGTCACCTCTGCTTCTGAGGATAAGTTCATCCGAGTCACCAGCCTCAGAAATCGCAAGTTAACAGCAGCTCAGATCAGAGACCAGATGAATGCCACACAGAGTTCTAGCAGCAGACCCATCTCTAGAACAACTGTTAAGAGGAGACTGCGCCAATCAGGCCTTCATGGTCAAATAGCTGCTAGGAAACCACTGCTAAGGAGAGGCAACAAGCAGAAGAGATTTGTTTGGGCCAAGAAACACAAGGAATGGACATTAGACCAGTGGAAATCTGTGCTTTGGTCTGATGAGTCCAAATTTGAGATCTTTGGTTCCAACCGCCATGTCTTTGTGAGACGCAGAAAAGGTGAACGGATGGATTTCACATGCCTGGTTCCCACTGTGAAGCATGGAGGAGGAGGTGTGATGGTGTGGGGGTGTTTTGCTGGTGACACTGTTGGGGATTTATTCAAAATTGAAGGCACACTGAACCAGCATGGCTACCACAGCATCCTGCAGCGACATGCCATCCCATCCGGTTTGCGTTTAGTTGGACGATCATTTATTTTTCAACAGGACAATGACCCCAAACACACCTCCAGGCTGTGTAAGGGCTATTTGACCAAGAAGGAGAGTGATGGAGTGCTGCGGCAGATGACCTGGCCTCCACAGTCACCGGACCTGAACCCAATCGAGATGGTTTGGGGTGAGCTGGACCGCAGAGTGAAGGCAAAGGGGCCAACAATTGCTAAACACCTCTGGGAACTCCTTCTAGACTGTTGGAAAACCATTTCAGGTGACTACCTCTTGAAGCTCATGGAGAGAATGCCAAGAGTGTGCAAAGCAGTAATCAGAGCAAAGGGTGGCTATTTTGAAGAAACTAGAATATAAAACATGTTTTCAGTTATTTCACCTTTTTTTGTTAAGTACATAACTCCACATGTGTTCATTCATAGTTTTGATGCCTTCAGTGAGAATCTACAATGTAAATAGTCATGAAAATAAAGAAAACGCATTGAATGAGAAGGTGTGTCCAAACTTTTCGCCTGTACTGTATGTCCCCTACAAATCCCAACCGTGTTTACAAAGTTTGAATGAACGAGCGGACGCAAAGAAAACGGAGGCTGCGCGTTGATCCTTTTGCCTCTGTCTGCAGGAACGAGTGAAAATCCCATTCATGATGGGGTCAGATGGATTATGTGCATAATTAACCACAAAACAAGCAAATACTTCATCTTAATGACATATAACACTCATTATGCTTCAGCTGAATCCTCTCAGCAAATGACCATGTTGAATTGAAATTAGTCTATCACGTTAAATGTCCGAAATTGTATGAAATTGCGTTAAACCAAACTTTGCGCATCACACAGCCTGATATGCCCTGGCAAACACAGTGGGACTGCTGTACAGACCGTTGGTCTTTCTTACCCTAACCCTGGTTATTTTCCGAAAGCACAGAGCAAAGAAATGTCTTTTTTTCTCCCCCGGTCTGCTGTCAGCAGGAGCGACGGCTGCAGCGGGGATTTCAGCACCACGGACGGCACGCGTAAAAAGACTTGACAAGCTTCTCCTCTAAATGTGTTTGCTGCTAGCGAAACTATACATAATAAATGAAGACAGTGACATATTTTCAATAAAAAACAATGAGTTGAACGTTGATTTCAAGCTTTTGTAGTACAACGAGTTTCAGAATTGTGCGAGTGCGGCCGGAGAGCGGGCGGCAGTGTTTGATGCAGGAAACTCGATATGGACTTGAAAATCAATTTCGGAGTGGGGGGGTTTCGGAACGGCGGTGTTTGGGAATGGAGGGCTGTCCCCCGTCAGGTTCATGCAGAAGTGACTCTGTGTGGTAGCTGTGACAGTTTTATTTCAGTCCATAACAGAAATCCCCACCTCGTTTGAGCGTCAGAAATGATTTTGGAAATGTAGCTTGTGTGGACGCTACCGCGCTAAGTGATCAATAAAAGAGCTTAACTACTGAGAATTTACTTGATTCAGAAAACAGCAACGCTACCACCAAGTTACTGAGAAATGTAGTTAAACTACAAACGTCTGATACTGACGCTACTGCCCAACACTGGTAGTCATTTTGTTTGGGAGAGAGACGGGGCACTTTCATCCAGTTAGAATGACTAAAGCAACTGAGAAAGAAATTGGAAAGATAAGATTTGCCAAGTTTCCCAACAACCGCAGAGTTCTTATTTCTGCTATGAACAAGCAGCAACAAGATAAAATTCTCAAGATAAATACACTTGATGGAGTAAAGATTACAACTCACATCCCTGGTATAGTGGCTAAACTGAGAGGTGTAATTTCAAATGTGCCGCTAGAAATGACTGAGGAAGTCAAGCAAGAAATCAGAGGAGGGAAAGTGCTAGACATCAAATGACTTCAGACAAACAAAGATGGGGTAAAGAAGGAAAGTTTATCAATGCTGGTACAATTTGAGAGCACGCTTCCCAAAGAGATCAGAATGGGGT